TATCGAATCCAAAAACAAGAATTTACGTTCCTAAAGCAAATATGTGAAGCCCATTTGAGCCGTCTATACATAATATACTACTTAATTAGTAAGAGAAAGGAAAAGGTAATAATTTGGACAAGTATAGACACATATGTACACGTCCAATGTGACATCGTGTATGACATCCATTATTAGAGCTGTCAATATGGGTTGACCCACTTCATCCGGGCTAGCCCATACAAGCTTTGAAATTTGACGGGTCAGGTCGGGCTAGTCCATTTTTGGTGTGGACTAGAAAATGGTCAACCCAGCCCACAAGTACGTGGACTACGGGCTTGCCGGGCCAGCCCTCTTTATGTAAAAATATATTTTTTATAATTTTTTAAATTAAATTATAATTTAAAAATATTATCATAAATATCAATAAGATAATATTACGTGGTGTTAGTGTTTCTACTTGTTAATCAAATTCACAAATAAAATTATGATTATAATATTTATTAAGTTTGATTTCAAGTAAAAACATAAATAGCTAAATAAAAATATAAATCAAATTGTTTTCCAATGATCATAATAAAACACAAAAAACTATGACAATATTCCATAGGCTACGGCCTATGTAGTGATTCCTAGAAATTTTAGGGACTTTTTATTTTACGTAATACGTATTTTATAAACATAATTTATATTTAAATTGTAATATTTTAAACTTTAAACTGATTTTGAGTTTAGACTCTTCTTATTTTTAATACTCTATTTTATTTTTTAATTAATTTTTATTTGTCCCACGGGTCGGCCCTATCCATATTTGTCAAGCCCCACAAATCGGTAGATTTATTCAGGCCAGGCTAAAAAGCTTTTTTTCTTAAATGGGCTCCAAAAATCGTAGCCCAACCTTATCAAATTCCGGGTTAGGTCAGACCGGCCCAACGGGTCTAGCCCATATTGACGGCTCTATCCATTATCCTTGCAATATCATACTATATATATATTTAATCTTCAATTATATGAAATTTACATTTTCGATTCTTTCTTCTTAATATTCACAAAATTATTACTTATTCTATCATTTAATTAGAAAGAAGTTATGTTACGCTTATGATGTACTTCTAAAATGAATTCAAATATAATATTTTTCTTTATAAAAGGGCTAAAACGTACATTTTAATTATTTTTTTAAGAAGTTAAATATATTAAATCATATAATATAAGGACCGAAATAAAATTTTACCATTAATTAAAGGGTCAAAAATGCTATTATCCCTAATTATTAATATGTTTGAGAATTTTTTAGGAATAAATATGACGACTTGCCACTTCATCATGCCACATAAGCGCCACGTAAGTTTCACATGGCAGCCTGAGTGGTTATATAGGAAGAAGACTAGTCCATAGTACAAGGTTTTAGAGAAATGTGAGAATTTCTTATGTAGAACCTAGAATATCATAAATTTTATTTTATCTGAAAGGTCCTAAGAAAATTCTAGACACGTAGAGAATTCTAGAAAAATGACTATTTTGTAAATATATAGGAACTTATATAATAATTAGTATTTACACTTTAATCCCTAAATAGTAATATAAATAAATGAACATCCATTTATAAATTCATATCACAAAAATCAATCAAAATTCCCATCACATTTCTTCCTAAATTCTTACACTAGGCACAAAGTTTTGGAATACAATAAAAAAGACGAAGTGAAACAATTCATTGGACTTGTCATTTCCCCACATACTGTTGTGATAAGGTAATTAGTCCAAATCATCTTTTAGCTTAAAATATAAGAAGTTTATTTTTGTCTTCTTATTCAGAAATTTCCACGCTTTGTAACGCAATGGCTGACATCAGAGTTTGGCTTGAATTTTAAAATATTTGAGGAAGAAAATACCAAAGACTTTGAATATTTAGATGTAGATATAAACATTACCCCTTTGTCAAAGTAAAGAGCAACGTGACTGGTCATTTGGACTTTTGCCCCTATTTTGTGTGGATTAACTTATATTTTCTCATATGACAAATAATTTTTGGCAACAATAAATTTATATTTTCGTATCATAATCTTTTATAATTTATCGGGTAAAAGGTACAATTTTGTGAGTATCTAAATAAACATTAGCCTGCAGATATTAATTGCAAATTAAAACAAACATGGCAGATGAAGTGAAGCTTTACAGGACATGGTCAAGTCCATTTGGTTTGAGGATCGTTTGGGCGCTTCATATCAAAGGGATTGAATACGAAGCCATATTTGAAGATTTAACCCAGAAGAGCTCTGAACTCCTCCAGTATAATCCTGTTCACAAAAAGATTCCTGTACTTGTACACAAAGGCAAACCAATCTGTGAATCACTCGTGATTCTCGAGTATATCGACGAGACATGGAAGGAAGCAACTCCTTTGCTACCTCAGGATCCTTATGAGAAAGCCATGGCACGTTTTTGGGCAAAATTTGTGGATGACAAGGTAAGAAACTGTTGATCTCTGTTAATTTCAGAACAAAAATACTTTGAGAAGATCTGGTAACTATTTTCATGTATCTATATAATTTGATTTTAGGCCACTAATTTTATTGAGTTATATCAGTAGATTAACACACATCTATATAATTTGACTTTAGGCCACTAATTTTATTGAGTGATTGTACCTGTATATTAACATGTGAGCAGACCAGATAATACTGACAATAGGCATTTCCAGTTATTGAATTGATCATTTTCATTGATATTTTGTCTTTCATGATCTGCAGCTTCTGCCATCAGTATGGAGTGTTTTCACAGAAAAAGGATATGAGGCGAAAAAGGAAGCTTTTGTTCCAGCAGTGCAAAACCTAGAAATCATTGAAGAGCAATTGAAAGAGAAGAAATTTTTTGGTGGAGAAAGTATAGGATATGTGGATCTTGTACTTGGTTGGATAGCGTATCTTCTTGATGTGTTTGAGGAGGTAATCGATCTGAAGTTGTTTGATGCACACAAATTTCCACTCTTATCAGGATGGATGAAAAACTTTTGTGATGCTCCGGCAATCAAACAACACTTGCCACCACGAGACAAACTAGTAACCAAATTCCAACTGCTTCATGAAAAATTTCAGACAGCAAATTAAATGGTGAAAATTGTTGCAGTATGTGTCTTATTATAGTTTATGGAAATAACAACAAACTGATTGTGAAACTGTTTGTATGATCAAGTACTTTGGATGGTTTTTGGATTATGTATCAAGAATAATAGAAGTTTTTCATGGCAATATATTTTTAATCTTATTAATAATGTATGAAAGTCTCGTCTTAATACTCCTACGTAATAGATTATGAACCAAACAGTATCACATTACTTTAAGAGTAATATTCTAAATATTTAACTTTGGAATAAGAAATAAAAACACACACAAACTATTGTGAAGTTATCAATTACACACCTAAACAATGTGTACTATAATTGGGTAACTGATATTCACAATAGTATCGTAATTAAGTTCAGTAGAAGCAGCTGTTATTTGACCAAGAACAAACTTGGTCATATCGTATGATAATTAGGAGTGAAACATATATATATACAATGAACCTTCTTCGTCAGAGACTGAGTCCTGTTTTGGAGACTTCCCTTCGGGATAGGTAGGATTTCATAAGGTATAACAACTGGTGCAGCTTTGGCAAAAATGTTTGGCCGGCAGTTGGCCAACACAGCTTTAAATATTCAATCTTCCCCTCTCTGATTGAACTAAAGAAGATTTAATAATAGCAAGTTTACCTTTTGCCATTTGTTAATATTTCCATTTTGCAGCCTTCAATATTTCATCTTTCTTTCGTCATGACTGGAACTAGTCATCTTAACTTATTAAAAACATTCCATATCTATCTCTGAGTGAAGTAGTTCATCAGTCACTGTAAGATTACATGTAACATTTGGGCAGGAATTGACCAAAGCCATATATAGTGTCGAAGTGACTGTTTCAAACTTGGATAAACAGGACTTTCTTCCAAGTATCTATCTCAACTCTTACTCTGCTTGAGAAGAAGATGGCTTCTTTTGCAATCGAGGACTTTGTTGGAAATGGATCTCTGCAAGGACTTGTACCAAAGCTGCTGGAGGAAGGCTGGGATGATGTACCAACTTTGAAGACTATGAATGCAGACGATATGAATGAGTTGAACATGACTCAACGACAAAAGGTTCTCTTTATTGATAATTCACCCTTTCTTGTTATATCTCGAGAAAATCATCTGGGGTTCGTCTTCATATAGTTTTGCAAATCTGTGTCAACAAATGAGTAACTCTTGTGTTTCCCTAGATAATATGACCTATCACAAGAATTAACAACAAAAATAAGATAATAAAGCTTCTATGTGCTTAATCAAAAGTCCTAAACTCCTCCATTCCATTTCTATGTTATTTGCTCAAATTAAACAATGGACAGAAATTTGACAGGTTAGTTTTCTGTACATCTGAAAAGTTACAGAAAAACAAAATAAGATATTGCTCTGATGATTTATTTATTTCCTAATCTAGGATGCACTGGAAATCAGGTCATACCTGCATAATCGTGCACTGATGCAATATGCGGATATGCTTGAGGAGTCTGGGAAGTCTCTTCCTGAGCTTCTTAAGCTAACCAAAGTAGATCTTACTACAGTGTATGGAATGAAAAGGGGCCATGTTGCCCGTTTTACAGACAGAACTACAACTTCTGGGGGAGATACTTTGCCAGAAGCATATAATCTCCAAGCGAGCAGAAGAACTGCCTTGAGGAATGAGAGTCTTTACAAGGACATTTCTGCTGTCACCTCCAGGAAGCAGACTATGACAAGATCTTTTGGAAGAACCAATACAGCTTATGATGTATCCCTTGAACAATCAATGGCTGATTTCAAAATTAAAGATGGACATGTTTTTAAGGGAATTGTAGCTTCAATGCCAGATGAGCCTAGAGCATGTGGCTGTGTGCAGGCAACCCCAGTAATTGAGAATGTTGCTCCTTATTCCTCCATTGAGAATATCTCAGTTCAGAAACTAACACCAGAGTACAAGATTGGAACGGAGCGTTTGGTGAAATCAAAGAGTCCGCCAATGAAGGCTTCAGAGCTCTGGCGTGATAAACCAGCAGTGATTATATGCATTCGTCGCCCTGGGTAAAGCATCAAATTATTTCTGCAATTCAAACCTATAATTGATAAAAATCGTAGCTAAATTGGTATGCTATATCTTAGACGCTGACTCTTTTAGGTTCATAGACAATACTTGGTTAAACAGAAACAAAGAAACTTATTGCAAGAATTTCACAAGGTAACTCAAGTCAATATCTGCATAGAACTTCACCAAGAGTAGATGATCCAATAATCTGTGTGATTTCACTAAACTCTGATGCACTGATGAAGGATACAGTCTAGGAAATATTTTTCCTTTAAAGAACGAGTGGTATTTACTTTTTCTAGGAAAGAAGATGAAATTCATTATTTAACTATGAGCAAGAATTAGTGGGTCTCATACCAAAAAGGCTATGGAAAACAGGTGCATCATGTGCAGAGCTGAAGCCCACCAACTCTATGCAAAGAAACCAATATTTGATGCGTTAGGGGTTCAATTATTTGTTGTTCTTCATGAGCAAATAGAAGCAGAGGTAAATTTTTCTACATTTTCTCTGACATTTCTTTGGAAGGACCTGGTTTATTATGCTGGGTTTTGTTATACAGGTAAAGGATTTCTGGCCTCGATACTGGGGTGGTGTAGTCCTCTTTGACAGAAGCATGGAATTTTATAAATCTCTGGGAGGAGGAAATCTTCTAAAAGATAAGTTCATATCAGGCTTTCTATTTAATCCTAGAGCTATTGCAAATTACAAGCGAGCAAAATCCATGGGGGTGGAGCAAAACTTCAGGGGTGAAGGTGAGATAAAAGGAGGACTCTACATTGTTGGCAGAGGGAAGAGTGGAATAGCTTATCAATTTATTGAAAGGAATTTTGGAGACTGGGCACCCCATGCTGAAGTTTTTGAAATCTGTCACCAGTTGCAGGTAACATTTCTGGCTTCTCTAATAAGCACATTCTACAACTAAGTTTTAACTTTTGTTCTAATGAAATTTTCTTCATATATTCCAGAATCCACAGGGAAGTCAGTTAGAGTTGCCCCAATCAATACAGCAACGGGATTAGATATGGTTATTGCTTCTATGCAACATTCCCTTGCTTTTGAATCTCAAGCTCAAGAAGCTAACTCTTCCAAACTTCCAACTGTTATGTTTCACTACCACAGCAGTTTTATTGTATGAATAGCATTACTGGTGTGTTAGAGTTTATTGAGACTGGCTATATATCTGTTACTTTTGAATCACATAAAGTAGAAGTGTCAATATGTAGATTGTACTCAATTAGATATGATTGATGGATGAAAAGATCCATAGAAAAGAAGCTCACGGTCATGATTCTACCAGTTATATTTCTTGTACCTGATGTATGTATAAACCCATACATGATAAGTGGACTGAAATTTGAGAATTACATGGTTGGACTATCGAATTAAACGTCCAGTACATGATGGTCCACAGCAAGAAATTTAAAGTACCCTTGACCTACCAAAAAAGAAATATATTAGTATACCTTTTTATGCATCACCATCTTTCTACTTCCAAATGAGCAAGTAGGCACACTACTCCACCGGAAAGAAACAGGCCCTTCAACGACAATGATCAAAATTAAAACAAATAAAGAAGAAAAGACAAAGTGCAACCATTTATCTGAACTACTGTCACAGCATAAAAGAGTTTCTAATGAAATACCTAATAATGAGTCAACAGAAATACACAGAAGTAAACAGCACTTGAGATGGCTCACAAAATCTATTACAGCAATTTTACCTTTAAAAAGTAAAGACTTACCAGATACGGAAGTCCTTAATAGTTTTGCATCTCTCCTGAAGTCGACTACTGCACCAATCTTGCAAATAAAGCTAGAAACATAGTACAGGAGATATAGCTTGAAATCTCACATCTCTAATAAGCAGAAAGATATCTCACCTCCAAACCTTAATTTGCCCAATTGCAGGGATCTTTCCATCTTTTAAGTATTAGGAAGGACAACAAACTTTAATTACCAGCGGTCTCTGCAGCTACATGTCCCATCCTTGAACAAGTGAAAGCGATTTGCATCTCTAACTAGTATTTCCCTCTGAACAATTTTTGACACATACTTGGTCCAAGTGTGGCAATCTCCACAAACCCGTAGATTCTTCATTACTTGCAAAGGTGAACCTTCTTTTGTGTTCAACAATCCAAATGCTATAGCAAGTCTTTCACTATGCCCATAAAGTAAATTTATCTTCTCATCTTCACCGACATCATGCAAAACAAATTTTAAGTCAGCAACATAACCTTCCTTATCCATTGTTCTATTGAGGTCCTCTATGAGCTCATTGACTTGCTTGAATTGTTGAAAGGACCTATCACCAGTGCCAAAAATAAAAACTCTGTTACAAATCTCAATCCAGCTACATCCTGGGTCTTTCCTAAGTCCTCTAGCTTTCAAAGATTTTCGTATTGTTCTCACTTGGTCCCACTTCCCTAAGGAGGCATATACATTGGAAGCTAAAACATTATACCCAGGATCATCAGAGTTCAATTCAACAAGGCGTTCTACGACACGCTCAGCAGTCCCGGTATCTCCACTAGCTCGACAAGCACTAAGTAGAGATCCCCACATACTTGCATCAGGCTGCAGCGGCATAGAAAGGATAAAATCCTCTGCTTCAACCAGTAGCCCAGAACGTGATAAAAGATCAACCATGCAAGCATAATGTTCAATCCTAGGCTCAATGTTGTATTTTTTTCTCATTTGGTTAAAGCATGCACGACCATCTTGCACTAAACCAGAATGGCTACAAGCATATATAACGGCAACAAAAACAATATGATCGGGAACAGTACCCGTCTCCTTCATCTGCTGAAAAGATCTGAGAGCCTTCTTTCCTTCGCCATACATTCCATATGCAGAGATCATTGCTGTCCATGTCACCACATCTTTAATCCTCATGTGCTCAAAGACCAAGATTGCATTCTTTAAACTCCCAGTTTTAGAGTACATCTCGATCAGTGCATTTCCAACAGGGACTTGTGACTCCAAATTGAGCCTGATTATGAAGCCATGCAGCTCTTTTCCCTGTCTTTTGGCAGCAAGTAAGGAACACAAAGGCAGCGAACCTAAAATGGTAGCCACATCTGGCATGATTCCTTCCATTCTCATCCTACTGAGCATCTTTAAACCTACGTAACTTTCCTCATAATGGCTACAGGCAGCAATAACAGTATTCCATGTTACAATATCTCTAGTACTCATGATCTCAAATTGCCACACTGAATGCTCCATTTTACCACATTTAGCATACACATCTAGAAGAGCATTGCCCACAATAAGAGTGGAATCATATCCTCTCTTAATTATATCGCAGTGGAGCTCTCTTGCAAAATCCACGTCCATCAACTTTGTACACATTGAGAGTAGTGTCACAAAAGTGACAGAATCAGGTTGCAAGTCTATCCTCATCATCTTAAGCAGATCAACTGCTTCTTTATTAAACCCGTTCTCAAAATAACCACTAATCATTGAGTTCCATGAGACCAAATCCCATCTTTTCATGTTGTCAAAAACTTGCCTTGCAGCCACCAAATCACCACATCTTGCATACATGTTAATTATGATATTGCAAGCAGTTGTGTCACATTCGTATCTGTTTTCCAAAATATAGTCATGTACATATCTTCCAAATCTTAAATCCCCCATATGCCCACAAGCTTGCAACACAGAAGTAACTGTAAGCAGATCCGGCTCGTATTCATAAACCATTTCTCGAAACAATTTGATGGACTCCTGATATAACCTCGAGTGAGAAAACCCACAAATTATGATATTCCAAGTGACAATATCTCTAAATATCATCTCATCAAAGATTCTCTGACAGTCCAACAACCTCTCAAACTTAAAGTACATTGAAAGCAGTCCATTACTCACAGCTATATCTCCCTTAATGCCACTCTTCTCCACCAACCCATGAACCATCTGACCCTGTTCAACCTCCATCAGACCCCCACATGCAGGTAAAACACTAGACACAGTAAAAGCATCAGCAGCAACACCTGATAACCTTCCCTCTCGAAAAGCTTCTAACGCCTCTTCCCAATACCCATTCGCACTATACCCTGAAACCAAACTATTCCAAGAAACCACATCTCTACTATGCATTTTATCAAACACCTCACGCGCTCTCCCTAACTCGTTCATCCTCGAATACATATCAATCAAAGCATTACATATATACAAATCTGATCCAAACCCCATCTCCAAAACATCATTATGCACAATTTTCACCATTTCAAGATCCAATAAACTGCCACAAGAATTAATAATCGAAGGAAATGTATAATTATCAGGCTTAACATTTAATTTTCTCATTTGGGTATAAAAGTCTAATGCTTTAGACCATAACCCATTATGGGTCATGGCTCTAATGATAGTGTTCCATAAGTAAACATTATGTGTAGGCGAATTTATGCGGAAAATGGATAATGAAGAAACAGGGTCTTTGGACTGGGAGTACTTCGAAATGAGTTTTCCACAGAAGAATGTTGATTGATGCTGGCCTGAAACTACTATGAGAGAATGAACTTTGTGGAGATCAGTTTGGTTAGTAACAGAAGATAATGCTCTCAAGATTAAAGAATGGAAGCAATATTCGGTTCTTTGGCCTACAATGCCAAGCTTTATGGTCTTCATGGAAAAAAAAAACTGATCTTTGGGATTTTTGAAACCATAAGATTTTATAGTATTCTGGGTGTGAGTTGGCAGCTAAACCCCCCAACCCACCATCTCACACTGATACCTCAAATTAAACAGGCCATAAAGTTTTCTTAATTTTACTTCGAAATTATTATTCTTATTCCACGTATCAAAATGTCTAGACTATAAGCTTGGTGATTATGTTGTTCAGTTATCGCACTATTTTGTTCTTATTATTGTTCCATTCTTGTAAGTTCTACACTACTTTCCATCATTATTATGTTTTCTTGTTCCTTTTACTTAGATTTGCTTTACTTGAACCGGGGATCTTACATAAACAACTTCATTACCTCCAAGAGGTATGGTAAGACTTGAATACATTGCCACAAGGAGCTACTGAGTATACTACAGCAAAATGCTTCATGTGTACAAATAACTGATACCAGTGCCTCAAGAGAAACATTCAATAAGTGATGAGGAAGCCACAAAGTTCAAGAGCAACAAATAATAAGAGATATCAAACCACTTAGTTTCTCATTGTATTGTAATCACAAGAGTCAATCCTGTGCTGTCATCAACTATTTACATGTTTGTACAGAGACCAATGTATCCACTGTCAGGTAAATGAATGCGTCAACGGCAATAGACCAGTGTTATTCGGGTTAATCTGCATCCAAGCTTCTTTGTACAATCGGAAATTGCATGCTGGTAACTTATAATTAATCAGTCTCCTCTAAGAAAAGGGAGGCATCAGCACTATAATGTCAAGACACCTGTACATGGATTATGGATAGGATCAGAAAGCCTTGCAAAGGTTAGAATTCACGTTAGACGAACATTGTTCCCTTATTGGACTATTGTTGACACACAATCTGCTTCGTTTTGGTTCAGATATCCTGCAATGCAATATCGCTGCTGCAAGCACATCAACTAAACCAGAGTCGTCGGATTCTTCAGATTCCCTGTTCAAACTTTCACACCTTAAATCTTTGGTTTCCCCATTGAGAGATTTACTGCATCTCTTCTTTCCATCTGATTCTAATCTAGAGGTAATGGCTGGTATTTGGCTTGGTGTTCCAGAGAAATGCTTTGGCTTCAACCTGACGGACACCGTCTTCAAAGTGCGCTCTGTGTAGAACATCATCCATGGATGGCCTGAAATACATCTTTAATCAGTAATTTGGAAATAAAATAACCAAATGTTAATAATTACTTTGGTAAAGCAGTTCAAGAAAAAATTATTCAAGCAAAAGAACGACATAAAAATGTTAAGGTGGGTTTGTCTGTGTGTAAACCAGCGCAAAGTAACAGAAAATTGTCAATATGTCAATGGCCTTAATCATTCAGATTATTCTCTCCATAGTAAAAATCATGTATGATCAAAACTAAATAGGATTAAAAAATTGCCAGCCCAGTTACCTACTTAATGAAGCAACTAGCAAAGAAACCAGTCAGTTACAAACAAAGTAAAATGCTTACTTAAAACTTCTTCAGCAGTTATCCTTGCAGCAACATCCCTTGTGAGAATCCGCTCAAGAAGATCTCGTGCAAGTTTAGATACAGATTGCCATTTTTCAGAGTGAAAATCAAGTTGCATGCTTTTAATTGCCTCAAAAAGAGCGTCCAAAGAGTCCCCTTGAAATGGAAGGACACCAACCAGTAGAGCATGTAAAAGAACACCAGCACTCCAAATATCTGCTTTTTGACCATAATCCCCTGTAAGAACTTCAGGGGCCACATACGCAGGACTTCCAGCCAAACCACTTAAACTCTGACCTGCATTATAAAAGTTACCTCCATAAATAAGGTGGAAAGTAGAGTTAAGATGAACATATCTGGCCCTATACTTTGCTAAGTATATAATTCCTCATCCTTCAGAAAAGACCAAAGAATAAAATAAAAGGAAAAGCAACAAAATATTTTTAGACTAAAGCAAAAGAGCTTATGCCACATTTTAACATTATGTTCAGATGTATTTTGGGTTGTTCCATGTTTACACAGAAAAATAATAATTAAAAAAAAAACTATGGGGATCAACTAGGAGAATTCAGCAGTCAATTAGCAAGTAAATATCTGAATTGCTCAAAAGCATCATGCCTAGAGGTAACTCAATTAAATGATGATTAGTAAACTACCTTCACGATCATCGATTTAGAAAGTTTACTTAAGGTGTTCTTTGAAGGTAGGTTCTACCAAATTCCATCTACTTGTGGGGCCAAGCAAAAAATCCTGATAAGTGTATGCCTTTCTCCATGGAGTCTTCTCCCTTACAGTTCTTTTTCCCGAGGGAGTACTCTTTAGGAAGTTAGATTTCTATAGTTTCGACTTCCAATTATTTGCTGATGTGTGGTAATTTAGTCAACGTCTATAGCCCATATAACTTGAGCGGGTTCACTACAAAAGAAGAAAAGAGAGAAGTTGTGTTAAACCCTAACTTGTTTAGCTTAGCTTCCCTCCCCCTTCGCCCCCTCTCTATTCCCGACTCCATGACACCACCTCTGTCCTACATAGCTTGGTTCTTGCTGCTCTGAAATTATATTCCCTACTTTTTCTGATTTACTTGGACTTTGCATGTTGAAGCTGGATTATATCACTGTTTGATTTTGTTAGTGAAATTACCCTCGATCTAAGTTTTCTTTTTCCATTGTTGTATACTCCCTTATATCATTTGTGTGCTAAATCCTATACCCTTCGGGGTGGCCCAATGGTTTGGGCTTGGGACTTCCATGTTGGAGGTCTCAAGTAAGAAACCCCTTGCAGCGAAAGCAAGGGGTTTGCCTTCTGAGTCGAGCTCGTCGCACTGGGTTTGCCCTGTGCGGGCTACCTCTCCTGTGTGGTTTTATTTATGTTATATTGTCTTTTGAGAAGATAAGTCAAGATACTCTCCTCATGCCTATGAAGTATGTCTACCCACTCCAGTAGTAGTCAAACTTAGATTAAACCAACCGTGGAACATGTAATTAAAAAACTAAGGCATACACTATTAGAAACAACTAGCAGTTGGAAGAGATATAAAAGCAAATGCTAGGCAGAAGCATTGCTACTGAGACTATACGAGCAAAAGGTTCCATAAAAATGAAGCAAACTTCCAACACCTGGTAAACATGATAGTGCAATAAGTGACAACAAAAAGAAGCAAGTGTAACATATATAATTGGTTCCGGTGCAATTGATTACCATTGGCAATCCTCATAGCCAAGCCGAAATCTGCAAGCTTTATCTTCCCAGAAGCAGTTAGAAGGATATTCTCAGGCTTAATATCCCTATGTACAACTCCCATATCATGGCAATATTGAATCACCAACATCAAATCCTTAAATATATTAGCAGACTTATGCTCCGAATACCTTCCCTCCTTCGTCATCTCATCTATCAACCTCCCACCAGAACACAACTCCATCACCAAATGAAAACTTTCCGCATCCTCATACACCGAATGCAATGTCACCACACCCGGGTGCCCCGATAAGTGTTGCATTATCTCTACTTCCTTGTGAACTGTCTCTTCCCCTTTAGGCAATGTCTTACAAGCAAATTCAACACCAGTAACCTTGCTCCTACACAAAAAAAACTGACCCAAATTTACCTTTCCCTAAAGCTCCCCCCATCACATAATCATCTTCAATCTTATTCTTCCTACCCATTTGCGTAGCTGCCTCTATACATCCAATCTTCCTCTTAAGCCCTCTCCCACACAAACTAATCGAAGAACTCCCACTCGGCGGCGCAGTTGCAGCAAGCCTAGTTCTACTTCCACAAGACCCAACAGTAACCTCACAACACAACCCATCATCTTCCTTACACCTTTTCTTCAACCTTCTAGAACATTCCTCTAACGAAAAATGGGTTTTCAAATTCGACATCGAAGATCCCGAATCACGAATCGAATTCCACATCTCTCTCTGCCTAGGGCACAGAATCTCACATCCTTTTCTCTTATTCCTCATCAATCAATTCCACTATACACCAAATTAGTCAAAACTAATCCAAACCCAATTCACGTATCACCTAAACAGTGACACTGAAAATCTTTCAACCGAAAAACACACAAAATTCAAGAATCGAACCTCGTACGACAGAAAGATGAAATAATAGCCCAAAAAATCAGAAAAAATTGAGGGATCAATAAGTATGATCACAGGTGAAAATCTTTCAGAAATTTTAAACTTAATCAGAAGCAAAACAAATCTGCATTGAGATCAAATGGATTTAGGTTTGCTTTTGTAAAAGAGGTGAAAAGGGGTTCTAGAGAGTGTTATTAGAAAGAAATAAGAAAAGAGAGAAAATAATTTCTGAGCTATTTATAAGAGCTTATAATATAAAGTTTTTTTTGTCTCTCTATCCTACAAGGATTAGGAGTCAAACATCATAATTATTTAAGAATATTTTTAATATATAAAAAGTTGTACTTTTAAATTTAAGAAATTTCATTTAATTTAATACATTTGAGAAAAACTTTAAAATCCCATTTAAGAATAAATCAGAACCAATATTTAATGTAGTATATCCAATTTTTGAATTATAATGTTATTTAAAATAATTGATAATTGAATATTGAAATGATTTGTTATGATAATAGGAGTAATATTTATGCATATTGTTTCCTTATATAATTAGGTTTAGTAAAGGAAAGTTCTTAATGGAGGAAATAATTATATGGTAACTTCAATCCTTTTTTTAAAAGGTTAGCAAGGGTTTAATTTTTCTTATAAACAAGAGACTTATCACTTAATTGTATAGATTATTATTATTATTATTATTATTATTATTATTATTATTAAAATAAAATTTCTACAATTTTTTCTTTTTTATTTCTTATAACAAAGTTTAATTTATCATTGAATCGATAATCATGACATAAAATCTATTGAGAAGTATTACTAAAGATTGTTGTAGATACACTTCAATAGCAAGAGAAAAATACGCAATTTAAAATTATCTAAACAACACTCAACAAGTTTTTGGGATCTTCATTTTAGGTATGGAGTAAGGTTATTTTCAATTACTTCACTTTTTTATTTTTATTTTATCGTGTTTATTATAATTATAGATTCTATTGTCATACCATGAAAAGAAAATGGTCAAAGCATGAAATTTAGGTACATTGAAAGTGAGTTTTAATTTAGATTTCGTAAATTAACATAATCACCAAGTTGATTAGTATATTAAATTTAAGCCACTTAATTTAGTCATTAAAATTTACTACTATTAGTTAATTGAAAAACAAGGTTTTTGAACTTGGAGTCCTAATGATTAATTAATATTTGATACATTCTACTAAGCTTAGCCCAAGAGATTCAGTCGAACAAGTAAAAACATGTCTTATTTAAATAACATGAGTACTAAATAAAAGTTACCTTGTTTAATTTTAATTATATTTGTGTAAATTGATAAAGACATAGCCAATAGAGTGAATGGAAAAAAAGGTAGTGGAGGAAAAAGGGAAACTAATTATTCATACAGCAGTACTAATTTTTTTTTAAATGGAAAAAGGGGAATAATCATCTAAAATCTAAGGAGAAACCAACCAGGTTTATGGAGTGGTAATTACTCTTTCATCCTTAATTAAAGGTCTTGCAGTTGAGTTTTCCTAGGTACAGAGTCACCCTGTGGGACTTTTCGGTGCAAATACGAATTTCATTAGGCGCCAATATTGGGGCGTGAATTCAAATTTAATTGAGCTCCAATGTGAGTATCATACACTAGATCGAAAATAATAAACTACTTTATAAGACATACATCGCTATCATATATACTAATTTTATCTCTACTTTCAAACAATTACATATATTACCACTTTTAATAATTTATATCATATATTATTGAAGATACAATCAGTATCCTTATTCCTTAATAGGATCGATTAATTATTTTTACATTTAGACTCTAAAATTAGTGTTTTAATTAAAAACAAATATCTTTCTATCAGAGAGTATGAGGTAGGGTAAAATTCAAACTCTCCCTCTTCCCCTGATAAGTCGAAAATATGTATCTCAGTTTTAAAATTCGACATATATGTATCTCGCGGATCCAGACTCATGTATCTTAAGCACATAATATGGTAGAGAAAGCAATATTTGAAACTATCGGAAGTCTTAGTAATTAGGACCTAAACTAGTGGAATATTTGTAGTTTGCCCATAAAAAAAAACATAGTCGGGCTTAAATATTCTGATTGCGAATCCGAATTTAGTCGAGCTACTATGGATACCAGACACTGGACTCTAATAGGTATCGAACACTAAATGAGAAACACAAAATAAATAAATAAACATGGAAGAAAATGTAGATTAAGAAAAATAAATAACTTTTTTTTAAAAAAAATAGCTTAGGTGAAAAAACAAATCATTTTTTTTAGTATGTCTAAGTGCAATTGATTAGATTATGATTTGTTTATCGATTCAATTCAATAGATAAATTTTGAAACAATCAGGTTAAATGGATTTAAATAGTAGTCTAATGCGTCCAAATATACAAAGTAAAATTTGACATAAATTATTTCTATTTTTTGAAAAACTTGAGTTGATATTATTTAAAAGAAAAATACATTAGCTTTTACATTTTTTTTTAAAATAAATAAATAAGAGAATAGGGGATGTTTGTTCATATGGGCGAGATACGTTGTGACTCCTTATTTGATTCATTTTGATCGGATTTTTGCATAAATAGGACTTTTAAATCAAATTATAAAATATGATAACATTTTAAATATATATATATATATATATATATAAAACTGTAACTTTAACTAGTTTAAATTGCCACTTTTATTTTAACTTCACATCAATAATTTGAAATAGATATGAACTTCATATCAGTTTGAAGACTTGAAGTTCAAATTGTTATATTGGAACTCAAGTCATTAATTTTTTTATTTTTTTTTACCGTGGTTTCCGGGCGTCGCTTTGCGAACCCGACTAGCTGTACCCACCGGGTCCCGCTGTTTCAAGGCGGGTCCACCACGGTTAGTTCCACGGGGCCCTGGAGACGCGGCCGGTTTGTAATGCCTCCAGTGGCCCTGCTGGGGCTCGAACCGGCGACCTGAAGGACTTTGTCCCAGGCCTTTACTCAAGTCATTAATTTGAATTTCTATATTAGATGGCTCGTTTTTGGAGGCATCGTTCTCAATTGCAGAATTATTTTCATTTTCAAAGGTTCAAATTTGAGACATCAAGTTAAAAGCGAATGAATCTCAATCATTCCACCACAACTCATTACCCTTATTTATAAGCCAACAACAATAGGACTAACACTGCAATTAAGTATTGTACACAAAGCTATTTAAGTGGTACTATAAATGTGTACCTATTTCATTGGGTATTGATCTTTTGTGTGCCTATTTGTTTAACACGTGTATATGTTTTTTTTTTCTACCAAAACAATGCGTATGCCAAAGCATCTCAAATTCTTTCTCCCTGCAATCTCTCCTTCCAGGTAAGCTTCCATCTCTTCTCCAGTTTGCTATTCTATTTTTTCTCTCCTTTTTGCTCTCATTGTTTTTCTTTGGTTTCTCATCATCTTCTTCTAGGATTTTGGGTTAAACTTTGTCTTGTTTTGTTGCTTTTATGTTCGATTGTTTTGATATTGCTTTCAATTTTTGTTGCTTTATTGGTAGGTGGCTGTTGGTATGTTGCATGGACAGAATTCCTATGCTGAACCCACTTCTTCTTCATCTCCTATGCCCAGGAGTGTAGACCCGTCTCAATTTTGTATTGATGAGTTGCAACAAAAAATTTCTTCTGTCACATACCAGCAGAAACCTCAAAATTCAATTGGGTATGATATAGATTTCTTGGTCTTTCCTTTTTTTTTTTTTTCATTTATCTTTACCATTTTGACTAGTACCAAATTTTCATTTTGTAAACCCTAAATGTTAAACTAAGCAGAATGGAGCAACTTAGGTTAACATGTAATAGGGATTTATAAATTCAACAACAGATGCAGACACTATCTCTTTTCGAAATCTTTGGATTCAACCAACCTCCAAGCTCAAGAAACCCTTCAATTCCAGGGTAAATTGAAAATACTACATTTGGGATTTCTTCATACCCATAGTGTTCTCTTTTTCTAATGATTTGATCTGAGTTTTAGTACCAGCACATTCTGTATATGATGGAATTTAATATGTCAAACTTTTCCATTTACAGACATTCTTAAAAGTAACCGTCTTTGAAGGGTATTTTCTATTTGGGGTTGAATTGAACTCTATTTTAAAAAAGAATCAATTTTTTTGGGTGCCCATTTTCATGATAAATCTTACTAACTAAGTGTTTTTTTGCTTTGATGCTTTTCGGCATGGCTGCAAATCTTGGGAAATTGAAAATTGAGCTTAGAGAGGCAGAAGATAATTTAGTAAAAGCACTTGCAGGAAAATGTTGTCGATGTGATATTCCACTCGTGAATTGACATTGTTATTCAGTTTAAGCTATTAATCAAATGGTTTATCTTAATATAAATCTGTTTTTCCTTTCTCTTTCTCTCTTTTAACTAAAACATTTAGAAGATGTGTTGAATTGGAAGAAAAATAATAAAAAAGAAGAGCATAAAGGTCTCTTTCTCACTATTAATAGTTCTCCAAATGTAGCTACGGACATTTTCAAGTTCAGTAGGAATAAACAAGCAAGGAATTGAAGTTACTTGACGGTATTGTGGGTGACTCTATTGTTAGGTGAGGAATGAAATTTTACTTCTTAAAAAAATACTATTAGGAATTTTTTTAGAGACATTACTGTACATTGTTTAATCAGCTGATTGGACCAGCACAATATAGCTTTAATAGTTATCCTTGTATCTTCTCCTTTGGTGCATTTACAAAATACATGATTCTTTATTCTAGAGAGTAATATAATTCCTTTGTTCTTATATGTTATTAGATAATATTGAAACATCGATTTAGATTTCGAGCACCAAGTTCTGAAATTTTACTGTTTCCATTCCAATTGATCCTGGAGTTCCACTTCATATGTGGAAGTGGAAATTTGAGAATACATCAACACACCTCCAAAGAATGAAGAAGGTATCATCGACTGTGAAAAGTCCTACATTGCCGTGTCAGATGAAGGAACATGGCATGTCCCTTGATAACCCAGGTAAAGATTTTACAATAATCTTATTACACTTATGTGAATACTCTGACATTTGTTAACTCAATTAGACGTTATTGCTTCATGCATGAGTATTTTGGAAAATAGAGTAATGCACCTATTGTTTCAATTGCTCTCTGGTGATTTCTGAAAACAGAGTACTTTTTTTCAATTTTCTTTATTTAATTCTTTATAGGATCTTCACTGGGTACCTTTCAACCACCAGATGGAATCACATTAGCAATTTTTCTTTCAGAGATCGACAATGAAACCATTGTAAGATGAGCTTAAGTTAATGAATGAATAGTTTCCTCTGCTTCAATCTAAATGGTTTCTGGTACGATGAATTTTTCGGTACTTGCCTTTGCATGTGGATTGTTTGATGATATTGAAGGAAAGAACATGGCATTTGATTTTGGGTTATGTTTTTTTTGGCAGATTGTAGCGACAGCAGAAACAAAAAACTATGAGAAATTGTCTTAGAATCTTTGAAATGCTTCCTTTCTAAAGATTATGGAAAGGCGTTTGAGAAATTTAGGAATGATATTGCTATTATTTCAGGTACTGTTTTCTTTAATCTAGCTTCTGCACAAGTGAAGTTCTACTATACTCTTTAATTGTTTAGGTTGTGATTTTTGAAAGTTTTCACTGATGAAAGTGTACTACTCTTTTCGTTGACCTTTGGATTGAAAGTCATCATGACCGGTGCAACTCCTGAGTGTGAAAATTTATTTTAATACTGCAGACTACATATCGAAAAACAATGAGTGGCTTCTTATAACGGTAGAAATTGGTAAAATGAAGTTTGGTAAGATAATATATCTTACAATATTCCAAAAAAAAAAAAAAAAAAAAAGAATGATAAGAGAAAAGAACAAGCAAACAAACAAATGGATGATAAATTTTGGATGGTTAAAGTTGTGGAGGGTGTTGTAGATAGCATTTTATTAACATTTAGTCATTTACACATTTTCATGTTTAAGTTTGAATTTTTTTTTTTTTGAAAATATGACTTTCTCGAATTTTATAAATCAAGTTTGTGTTAGTGTGGAGACTAACTAGAGTTCACTGCTTTATCTTTCTATAACATTTATGATAATCAAGCTAATGGTATAATTCTGCTAGCAGTCAAGAGGTACTACTATTTATTTCTTTTTCATCAATAATGCGATTTGTTTTTGTTTATGAGAAATCATATGATTTGTTGCAAGTATTTATATTGTTTCATGGTGGATAAAACTATATATGTTGAACATCGAGTTGTAGGCGTGTTATATCTGAAAAAATTCCTCTTTGCTCTCAAATCAATCTGTTGATGGAAAGACTGCACCAACTAAGTGTATCAATTATTTTTTTATAAGTGTCTTATCAGGTTCATCAGATAAAATAATAGATATAATAGCAGCAGTTGCACTGGATGGAGTTTCAGCATTGGTAGGCATTGTTTATGTGGGAATTTATAAAAAGAAGGAATAAAAGGTTGCCGCACATCTCCCGGCATCTTCTGATCTATCCCATCTACCTGACCCTCTTTTATTAACTTAATGTTGTCAATGTGTTCCATCTGCCAATGTGTACTGACCGAGTATGTCTGTAAATATATTTTGTATTTTGTTGCCAGCTGCCAGTCATCAAGTTCGATCAACTCAACCCCAAGATAACTTAAACAAAGGAAAAAGTATACAATCCTCGGACCATTTCTCAAACAAGTAAGCCTGCTCTTTCCATTGCATTTTCCGTATGGCATATTGATCTTCGCATTATTATACATTTTCCATTATTATTAATTTGACATTGCCAATCTATTTTCTCTAACATGTATAATACCTGACTTATCTGAATTTGCCTACTTACATTTTAACTTCAACCTTTAAACATAAGAGAACTACTTAACTTGTATCTAAAATCTTCTGATTTTGCCATCTTGATATAAATATGCAATTTGTGTAAATAGTGAAGTTGATATCTTTATAGGAACATGGCCCAACTATTTTTGATGTGTTCCTATTCAATAATTTGCAGGAACAACAAATAGCAACGTCCAGGCACTGAAAAGGACATATGTGCAATGAAGGAGTTGAAGAGTTGATGTTCCCGGGACACATTGCAATTGCTAGAATACTTCTTTTTTCTTTTGAATTTCTTTTGTTTCTAACTTACTAGATCATCCCTTTTATAACTAAATCATTCATAACTTGAATAAGTTGCTTCATTGCAAATTGTGGCTTATATAGTTGAAATAAGTTCCATCAATACTCTGTTTACAACAGGTTTACTGGCCATACCCTTCTAGTATTGATAGAAGTCAACTTATTTTATGCACATATGATTTGTGTTGCTCATCATTTTTAATTTGTTTTTATACATTGCATTTAAAATAATTACAGGATCTGCAAACTAAACAAGTATTTAATCAAAAAATGAATCAAAATTTGCTTCCAATAACATATCTGGCTTATGCATTACTACTTTATCATCTTTGAAAACATACAATGAAATAAAAAATTTGCTCAATAAAACCTATAAAAAGATCTCATTTAACATAATATTTTTTTTACATGTCTTCTAAAGAAAACTAATTTTATATCCTAAAAGTATTATACTTCTTTTTATTTTCTTGAGAAAATTAAAAATGTGTTACCTAAATAAATAATTAGCTTTATAATCAGGCAAAATATATAATGAATTTTCAAAACTTGAGACTTTTATATTTGATGGTAAAAAATAGATAGAATAATATGATTTTCAATAAAAAAAAAATTAATGTTGTGAACACATATTCATTTATTATTCAAAAATCTATTTGGTAAAGCTAATATAAAATGAAAAAAAAAAAAAACTAATTTGCCTTTTCTTTTGATGAATATGAAAATGTTTTTTGATGCAGGCAATACACGTATTTTGAAGAAAAAGAAAAAATAATGTGTTTTAAATATATTTTGACAAAATTGAGTTTATAAAACACCACTCATGATAAATAGTGTGTTAAGAATTTGGTTTTAAAATTTTGAGATAAACTAGATACTTTACTTTATAATTATTTAATTAAGGATTTGCTAAGAAAAACTCAAATCTAATAAGAATTATAGTTAATATATGATGCTCTTCCTCAATTTCAATTTGTACAAAAGTGTTTGAAAAATGAAAGTCGAAATACATACTTCTATTCATAAATTTTGGTATAATTAAAATATTTTATATAATTAAAATTACATAAAAAAATACTAGTATAAGTTTATATAATAAAATAACTTAAAGTATAATTTAAAAAATCATAAAAAAAAAAACGGTTTAACTTTTCAAATATTAATTATTTTTGCTTTTTATATTTCCTTTCTCATTTTCTTTTTCTTACTTTTACCAAAAAAATAATGCAAATTTACCCAAAAAAAATTGAGCATGCGGCGGCCGAATCCGAAATTACGAACAATGGTCATCTTCTTTCCTTAACCCTGAAAGAAGAAAGAAGAAAAAAAGAAAGAGGAAAAAAACAATGGCTTTGCCAGCCTTAAACCCTCCAAAAACCCTAAATAAAAAGCTTCAATCTTTGAACTCACCATTTTTTTCCTTCTCAAAAACAGCATCATCACCAAAGATAACCAAATTCAAGAAATACCCATTAATTACTATGTCAAGTCAGCAGCAAAATCCACTACCCCATGTAGCCTTAACCAACAATGACCACAAGGAAGAACTCATGAGTGCTATCAAAAGTTCAATATCTAATTGCTTATCTGAAACCCATCTTGATTTAACTGTACCTCAACTCAAGTCCAAAATCAGAGGCAAGGTAATTCAAAATAAAACTTGTATTTTTATTTATTTTTTCAATGTGAGTTGTCTTGGACTAAAGTTGGGGCAGATGGGTTGAGGTTTGTATGAACAGTAATGTGGTTTATAATTTATCTCCAACCCCTTTTTTAATTTGTTTATTTTGGGATTTGGGTGTTGTGGAAAAGCTTAATTACATAGATTTGATAGAGGAATTTTAGTTTTCTGGATGGAAAGTTGACAACTTTATTGAAAATTTATATGCTTAGTTTTGAAATATGATTTATTTCCGAATGCACATATGAAAAATTCCATGTGTTTTGAAGGTTAGAGATATATATGATGGAGGGGATTATCTTGTAATGGTGACAACAGATAGGCAAAGTGCGTTTGACAGAATTCTTGCTTCCATCCCCTTCAAAGGCCAGGTAAAGTTGCGTATTATTGATAGTATTCAATTTGTAACAAGTATAACATGATCCCTATATTCAAGCTTTAATCTAGTTTCACTGTGGTTATGCAGGTGCTTAATGAAACAAGTTTATGGTGGTTTAATAAGACTCAACATATTACTCCTAATGCAGTGGTATCTGTACCTGACAAAAACGTAACTATTGCGAGGAAATGTTCGGTTTTCCCTGTTGAATTTGTAGGTGAGTATCTACTTTGTAGTAGTATTATCTTCAAAATTGATTCACTTTTTGACCGACGTATAATGAGCTATGTGTGGTTAGGTTCTTATACACACTAGATTCGCCACACGTGCAACGCACGTGTATGATTAGTTTGAGATTCATATAATTCTGGAGTAGTATCCATACGTCTTTTCCAATGTTTCTTATTAGTGCCACCGACATCTTGGCGCTGAAGCTTTAGAAAAATTTTAAGTTTCTAATTGATCTTGAATCATCATTTGTGACTCAGATTTATGGTGTCAAGCAGTGCAGGCTACATTTCAGTAGTATTCAGTCACTTGTATCCTAATCATCACTAAATATGTCTACACGAATGTAGTATTTTCTTCCAAAGTTGCATGGTGATTGTCATCTCATCACTTATTCAACCGAACCTATGAATACAACCAATGAGATTTTCAATAGCTTCCTGTAATGTTATTTTTTTCCCAATTGCATGACACTTTTCAATGTTATCAATCGTATCTCACCTAATACCTTCTTGTATATAATATTTCATGTGTATGTCCCTATCCTTCTATCTGGTTGTTCATTCATAACCAATACTTTCATCGGAGCTATTTGAAAATTCCCTTGAAAGTGCAACGTATAGTTGGCCATGCAAGAAAACATGTTGTGGCAGATGCAATCCAACATTTGAGATTGCGCTTTGTTTATAGTCATTACAAAATATAGACGTACTGGAAATTGCTTCCGAATGAACTTAAATTGATATCGTTCTTTCTCTAGTGGTGATAATGGTATTCTTGGAATAACCACTTGTTTTGTAGCATATTGTCCCGTTGTTATTTCCGCGTGTATGACATTCTTGTCAAAACCTCTTCAAATCAATCGTGTCACATTGCATAAACCATCTGATGGGTGTAGATTCCTCAGCATCATGATATGGCAGCATAAGCATCTTTTTTAATACACAAGGCAATCTAATCGATTATTCGGGTTCACACAATCAGATTAATAGTGCTCCCTACACAAGGGAACCTCATTGTCCTACTTATTGTGTGTTTGATAGTGGTTGATTCTTTATCAGAAAATGGCCAGTACGTGTTGAGTGCTAAAGATACTGGTTCATTTTATATTCTCCCACCAGAGGGGAACTCAAATTGGAGGTTCTTTTGGCGTGCTAAGAAATAGCTGTTTTTTTTAATCTAAACTCAAATATATTTTTAACTATCCCATGGAATACACCCATAGTGTGGTTGTGTGTGTTAGGGCTACCCATTATGTACACTTAAATATTTTGGTTGCTGGGAAGAAACTAACAGCCTAAAGGATGCAGCAATTTTAATGTGACAATGCCAAAGTTAGGAACAGGGTAAGTAAAACACATAAAATTGAGGTGGAGTTCAGGGTGTAAGATTTCCATCTGTTTGATGAATAAATTAAAGAATATCAGAAATTTATGCGAGAAGATGTAAATTGCAAATAAACATGAGTATCAAATAGGTAGGATGGAACTTACAGCTGTTGAACGGCAGCGAGCAATCTAACCAAAGACTATTCCAATGTTTGATTGTGCTAAGCGGGAGATGGATCAATGGTTGCTTGAAAATACTGCGCATAAGGTTGAATGACAGTATGACAACCATTTAACGAACAGTATGAGTAAGTAAGCTGTACGCTGGGATAATCCTATGCATATGCAGGCCATACCTGTTCGTTAAATGCAGAAAAATGCAGGATTGCATTCAAGGTTGATGGTTTTAAAGAGAGAAATATGAGCAGTTGCACCTGTTGGGGAAGGGACATTGGTGGCTGTACAGAATGTCATAGTTGGGAGTGGCGACTCTTGGGAAGGCGTCTCCAGCGCAGAAAGTTAGTTGTTAGCGATTAGCGAAGTGGTGTTTTTAGTTAGGTTTTATTTTTAAGTTAGGGGTATTTAAGTAATTTAACTTTCAAGTTTGTGAGTTCATGCTTTTAAGGTAGTATAGATATAGATGTATAGTGAGGTAATTTTATAAGTCAGCCAAATTGTTAGTTTTGGTTATATGTCCTGCACCTGCATGTTTAGTAAATCTTTGCGATGATGTCACTTTGAACCATCGTTAATGCCCCCACTCTCTTTTTGGGAGGAAGGGAGCTAAATCGATTGCAAGTCTTCATAATTATGCAATTGAAATTCATAATAGGCGTCATTTTGAAGGTTGCAAGCTGAAAACCTCCTAATAAGCGGTTGATTTTTATGCTTCTAGGTTTTCAAGTGTCTTTTAATGCAATTATTATAATTAAGTAATAACTTCTAAAAGCTTTTCTTATGAATTTACTAGGTCATTCTTGCATCTTCTTCTCATTTTAATTTATGTTTGTTGGTGAGTATTTTGTTATTATACATCAATAAAGCCATGGTTTAAGATATTAACGATATCTTTTTTTCTAGTACGAGGATATGTTACTGGAAGCACTGATACATCACTCTGGACAGTCTACAATAAAGGGGTTCGCAATTATTGCGGCAACAACCTTCCTGATGGTGTGGTTTGTATAATGCATGAATGCAACTGTTTTTATTTAGCCTTTGTCAATCTCTTTTTTATTTTTTTTCTTGACCTTGTTCTTCTATTAAAGATGATTTCTTTTTGACAGGTCTGGTGAAAAATCAAAAGCTTACCGAAAATATGCTTACTCCGACAACTAAAGCAGCAGATCATGATGTTCCTGTAACACCAGATGAGGTCTGTATTCTTTCTTCATTCTTCTTTTTCTTCTTACTTCCCTAGCAGTCTAGCTGTTCTTTTTATTTGCTCTTCTATAAGTGAATAGGCTAATTTCTTACATGTTGATGGGAAATAAGTGTAAGATATAGTTACGTGAAATATGAAGAAGTGGCTAAAGATGCTAACTGGTCCCATTCTTGGAAGGTTACATTGCAGTCTTTATGTTTTGCATCTTGTTAATCTGATGTTTTTGTCACAGTTTATGATTTGGTTGACCTTGGTTCACGTCCTGGTATTAGAGTTAGAATTTCTAAATTTTCGAGTATTTGCATGCCAAAGCCTGGGGCTATAGATATATGTTGTAGTATTGAATCAATGTTGATTTGAGATGAGTATGAAGCTAATCTGCTATATATAACTGCAGATAGTTCAACGCGGTCTTATGACTCAAGCTGATTATGATGAAGTCAGTAGGAGGGCAATGAGCTTATTTGAGTTTGGCCAGGTAAACAATCTTGTATTCTGTTTTATATGTTTTTGTATTGCGATTCTTGTCATGCCTTTCTTCTATAGCTATTAATGCCAGTCTCTTCAACTCAAATCTGCTGACTTAACGAATAATGCCCTACTCTCACTTCAATATTATTGTTGTTTCTTGATTTCAAGTTCTTCTTGATGTTTCAAAGCAAATTGCTTTAGTTGGTGCTGTTGTCTTTTCTTCCTTGTCTGTCTTAGTTAACTTCCAATCTTGGAATTAAGAAGTCAAGAGAGGCTTTCCATTCTGTATTCACCAAAAAAGTACATGCCCCATAATCGACATTGCTTTAGGAGCTCAAAATATGAATTTAATTAGATATTTAAAGTCTGACATGATGCTACACCTATAATTAGTTATGTGTACACACTTCTGCTAATAGAAAACTTGAGCTAAGATGTAGAGGTCACATTGGCCTTGATGAGTGCGTGTTGTCAGTTATAGCGATTTATAGGTGAAAATCTCCTTCTGTTAGCTCTACATTTCCTTCCAGTTCTCAGATCTTTTTCCTACATATGTGAGTTGTAGACTTATATCAAGAGGTGAAGTAGTTTCCAATCCTTCCTCAGATATGCCTGGTGTTCATATTTTCAAATTGAGCTTCCATGTAATAATCATGTCTTCAATGAGTAGTTTCTAGAATTGTTGCTTGAGTAGAAAATTTCTATTTCATGCCTGGTTTATCAACTGTCATCATACCTATCTCAGCAATTCAGAAATGACTCTTGAAGGTTATACACTTTGGTATGGAAGTTATTCAGACTAGTAATGGTCAAATGTTCTAAACATAAAATTGTTATCCGCTCCACAAGATAGCTTCCAAGTACCCCGGGGAGACCATGAGATAGTGAGGTTTCATGGGTTAGCGCCTCAATTGGTGGAGCATTTGGTACATGAATGCTTTACTCAGGCTATCCGTCTCCTACGCCCTAAGAATGTCCATACACACTGTCATCCCAGCTGTTTTTCTTTAAGTATTTAACCTTAATTTTACATAATATGTTGTTGTTCTATAGTTAAGAATTTGATAAGTTAGAGTATATTATGTACGTTATTAGTATGCCTAGATCTTTTGAACTTAATACAAATTTTAATGGATTTCTGTGAGTTTTATATTTCAATCTTATTTTGAAATTTTATTCTTATTTTTTATTAAAAATAACTAGAACTTAAAAAGATTTGTCGGGCTAATTCTGTTTCCATGTTAGGCAAAAATACCCTTGCCCTGCTTCTCAAATATTTTAAAAGAACTAATAGCTAGAGTTTTGAGCTATACTTTGTGTTAGCTGTAGAGTGCATTTGAACTATTATAGGATAAATCTAACTTTTATGCAGTTGTAATCATTAACTTTTATATTGCAGCGTGTAGCATTGGATCATGGGTTGATATTAGTGGACACCAAATATGAATTTGGAAAGGGACCCGATGGTCAAATCTATCTGATTGATGAGGTAAGCTTTAGATGGCCTTGTTTCTCTTTGACAATGATTCTACTTTTTCTCACTGAAGACCTCATCTTCTGCTTCCAACTTTTAGGTGCATACACCTGACTCAAGTAGATATTGGATTGCACATTCTTACCAGGAGCGCTTTCAGAATGGTCTTGAGCCTGAAAATATCGACAAGGTTTCTTACATTATATGAAACTTAATCTGTATCCCTTAAACGCATGCTCAAGCATTAATCTCTACCAGATTAAGAAAGTAGAAAACAACTATTTTCTTCTGATGTTTCCGGTTATCTTAGATTATATAGTTTTTAGTATGCTGTTTCTTGCAATATGCTGACTGACACTACAACTAATATTTGCCTAGGAATTCTTGAGGTTGTGGTTCAAAAGTCATTGCAACCCATATGAGGATGAGGTGATCGGTCTTTCTGCTCATTTCCTTGGTATTCATATAACTTGTTTTTGAAATTGCACTAATTGAAAAATTGATTCTCTTGCTTAGGTCTTACCTGACGCTCCAGAAGAACTTGTTTCTGAATTAGCTTGGCGGTATGTGTTCATGTCTTCCCATGTTATCACTGTCGAGCTAAAGCCTCCACTCTTTTTAACTAACAAAACCTTGAACCTTCACTTGATTGTGATCTACTTGCATCAAAGTTGCCTACGATTATCATTATTCACTGTTTCCATTATTAGTGCTGATTTCCACTTCATTAAACAGATATATTTTTCTATTCGAGACAATAACAAATTCAAGATTCGAGATGCCTGGGACAAAGGTAAAAACCTATGTAGGAAAAGCATTACTGGATGACTACAGCAGTTACTAACACTTGTTCTTCATGCAGGAGCCAGTCCATGATCGAATCTCGAGAAATGTTTCACAGGCTTTATCATCATTGCAGTAATAACATCAAACAGGAGAGCATCTTGCATAAGTTTTATGAGGTGGAATAAGTACTTTCTGCAGTAATATTACTCTGAAGAATTGTATTTTAAGGTTGTCGTCGAGGAAGTTCGTCAATGTTGTAATGCTATGTGATACTCATATAACAACAATTATGCATCAACCCCAGGTAAGTTGGGGAACCATAAACTGTAAAGTGACTAGTTTTGTCTAAAACTTAACGAGTTCTGGATTTTAATCATCCTGGTTTAAGTTAAGAATAGTTGGCAGATAAAAGTATTTATTCTAGTGTCACCTTCTGACTTATAAATGCTTTTTAGATCGTATAACTTTGATGGCTGCTCTCTGTCTGTGAATTTATTTCAACACCACATTTGCACACATTGATGGGAAATGGAAAAATCAAAATCATTTTACTGCCATTAACTTCTCAAAAATAAGAGAATTGTAAACGTTGACAATCATGGAACATTTAGGACCCATTTTTCCAACTCTTTGATTACGTGCGTTTACATTTCTCACATCTTTTTTGATCAGCCACTTCGACTTTTCTCAATTCCTTTTTGACCTGTCAATTTGTTTACGTAAACCTCTCATTTATGCTTGTTTGAAAACATCTGATCCGCTTTATTTGTCCTTTTTTTTTAAAGTCCATTTAAAAAAGAATGTTTCTTTCTTTTTTCTAACGACTCTTAATTCTATCTTTTCACATTGTATGTTTAAAACCATAAGACAAAATAATATTTTGATACATTAGACCACATGATTCAAGCCTTTTTTATTTTATTTTTTCAAAAAAATTGTGTCACTAGACAAATAAATTGAAACGGAAGGAGCGATAGATAGTGACATAGCTTATTACTGAAATGAAAACACTATGGTGTCTTCTTTGGACATACTGAAAATAAAATAAATAGAAAGTGTGGCAGATGGAATAATCACAAAACTATGTGAATAAGATTGCTGAAACTGTCATTTTCCGATGAGATGAATAATGAATTAAGAGAAAGGAACGTTAATTAGCATTGACAAGTCAAAAGAATAAGTCGTCTTGATAGTTTATCTGGACACGGAAGTACTAAAATACCTTCTAAGAGAATTAGTGGTAAACAACTAAACATTCATTATTAAACACTTAATTATCTCAAGACTTGTAATATTCTAACCTTTGGCAGCAGCCTTAAGCCCATTTTGGTCTGCACAGCAAGAGTTGTACCTCTATATAACATGAGAGATTGAGTACCCTCTACATAGCAAGAATCAGCAATGGCAAGTGAGAAAGTGAAATTGCTTGGATACTGGGGAAGCCCTTTTGCTTTGAAGGTTCATTGGGCACTGAAACTGAAAGGGGTTGAATATGACTACCAAGAAGATCTCCCAAACAAAAGTCCTTTGCTCTTGCAGTACTGTTAAAGAATGACAAAAGTCCCATATCGGTGGTTAATGAGATGGGTGGACTCCTTATATGGCTTGGGCAATCCTCCTCCCTTTGAGCTAGCTTTTGGGGTGTGAGTTAGGCCTAAGACCTAATTTAACATGGTATCAGAGCAGGGCCTGTCTCACCTGATGTTGGGGCCCCCAAAATCAAAATTGCCCACGCACCAGATGCTAAGCACTGGGCGTGAGGTGGGGTGTTAAAGAATGACAAATGTCCCACATCGATGATTAATGAGATGAGTGAACTCCTTATATGGCTTGGGCAATCCTCCTCCCTTTGAGCTAGCTTTTGGGGTGTGAGTTAGGCCCAAGTCCTAATTTAACAAGTACAATCCAGTTCTTAAGAAGATTCCGGTTTTGGTTCATAATGGGAAACCTATTGCAGAATCACTAGTCATACTTGAATACATTGAAGAGACATGGAAGCACAATCCCCTCCTCCCTGAAGATCCTTATGAAAGAGCCAAGGCGCGTTTTTGGGCAAAATTTGTTGATGACAAGGTAATAATTAATGTGCAAATATGAAAGAATCCATTTCTCTACCTTGTTTATCATCTTGCAGCAAATCACTGGATCATTCATGCTCTTTCTTTCTTTACAGTGTGTGCCAGGAATATTTGGTACTTTCACCAAGGTCGGAGAGGAGCAGCAGAAGATAGCAAAAGAAGCTCGTGAGAACTTGAAAATTTTAGAGGGTGAACTAGGCAAGAAACACTTTTTTGGAGATACGAAAATTGGCTTCATGGATGTCGCTTCTGCTTGGATCATCTGCTGGGATCAGATTGTTGAGGAGATTGTGGATATCAAACTTATTGATGCTTAGGAAATGCCTTCACTTGTTTCATGGTTTCAGAATGTCCTCGAAGCTGCTCCCATTCTGAAAGAGTGTACACCACCCAAAGACAAATTGTTAGAGCATAACAAAGGGTTCCACAAGATGTTGATTGCTTCAGCATCACCTTGAAATTTAAAATAACTTCCCATGGAGGAAGATTTAACTAAATGTGATTATATGATATGTAATCTTTTTCGATGAGTTTGAATGACATGTAAGATTTAGCGGTTTTGCCAATCAAATACAATTGTGGGAAAATAAGGGCATAAGCATCTATGAACATGATATCATATAGTCATTTTCTGTAAAAATAAGAGAATCTTCAACTATTTAAATGTAAGGAACATTGCACCTTGATAAAGGACAAGTGCCTGACTGTCAATATGCCACACAACATTTGAGTTCCATTTAAGGATACAAGTTCCTTCAACTTTCTGCAAGTAAAAGCAAATTTCATTTTAGTTAAGGGGAGGTGGGGAAAAGAGCTGTGATTATTAAAGAAACCCAGCACTGGCACATTGATGATAAGCTACAAAGGATTAGAGACTTTGAGCCATAAGCCCATAATTTAATCGACCATCAATGAGGAAGCAACCCTCATCCATTAGTAACGCTATACATATTAAAGTGGACATTCAGCTTGCATCCATAAGTGATCGTAAACCTATTTGTTCAAAATCACCCACAGTACTACCACTCATATATTTGAATATGATGAATAAAACAGCCAGTTCGGCAAGAGAGATCAGGAAAAAGAAAACAAGTTTGATACACACGTGTAGAGATATTAAGAACCAGAATATTATTCCAGTCCAAGCCAGGTAGCTGATCCAGATCATCTCTATCATGACATGATTCCATATTAGTTTAGCAGGCATTACGAACATGTAGTGTTAAAAAAAATTAGGAGCTATTTTCTCTGGCCAATTTGTCAGCAAGCCTCAAATTGAAACAAATTATCATAATAGGAATACAATGTGCATGAAGTTCAGTAATGCAACATAAAATGTTAAAAAGACATGCTTTTACTGAAGCTTCATGATCTGTTGTAAATGATTAAACTCTAGTATTCTTCATATGGAAGGGAGAGACTCAACATAGCCATAAAAGAAGCTTGCTAGAGTGAATCACGATGAAAGTGTAAATGATAAGAGCACATCTTAAAGTTGAAAAAAGATTTTGCAGACAATACTTGTTGAATCAGATATATTCTGAAAAGTTGAGATGTCCATCAAAGCTTATATCTTACGGTGGACATAAAGCTCAGATGATGCACAGAGTAAATTAAGAGCGATATATTTGATAAAGCTGCATCTTAATCTTAAACCTGGACTATGCATAAGCACGAAAATCATCTATCATAATATAAGACTTTCAGAGGAAAATACTTTTTCAAACTTAAAAGGTCCTTGCTGGCAGACTGTTTGCGTTCTGTAAGATATTCAGATATCATTTATGGAATTTTATACGTGAATATCAAATGCCCAAATTTTCAAGTAGCATAAAAACAACAGTTAGAAGAATAAATCTACACTCTGGCTAGATAATAGAAAATGCAGAAGCCATAATCTTTTACCGAATTACTGATATTGCAACTTCCAAGTGCAAAGGGAATCATGAGAAAAGAGAGTAGATTAATCAAACAAAAACTTACCAGTAGCTGCAGGATGCAGTTCCAAGAAATTACATCCACTGTGCTCTTCATATTTTTAAGCCGCAGAATCAAGGTTAGCACCAAGTGACTAAAAACGGTTCTCTTACAAGGCAACATGCTCGGCATACTAACCTATCTTCTGCCCAGGTCTAAAAGTCAACTTTTAAAGCATAATTAAAGTTCCACTATGGGTTTTCAGTTCTCACAATGCAAAATGCCTGCATAGATGGCAGAGGTCTCATCTTCCATGTCAATTCCATCATTCTGCATTATTTCAAGGATGTACAGTGGACTTTCTTCTCTTTAGGTTTGCATTCTAAGCAATGACTTGTACACTTGCAAATTAGCAAGACCAAAATGTCTAAGAGTTGTAAGAAACTCCATAGCCTTCTCAAAATTTCTAGTTTCTTCAAAATATTCTGAAATTGCGACAGCAATACTTGGTGATGGCCTCCATTCATAATGTTTTAGAGCAGCAAGACCACTTTTCAAGGCATCAATAGCTTTATCCATTTGTTGACTTCTTATCCATCCCTCCACCAGTATCTCCCAGGTTTTAGAATTTGGACATCCACCTTTCTCCAATGTGCGATAATGTAATGATTCAGCTTTTTCCACTGATCCAACTCTCATGTATCCACCGAGAAGTATGTTGGAGACCCTAATGTCATATGTCCTACATTGCGACTCCCATTCCACAAAAATTTCCCGGCTTCTTTCATGTCACCAAGCTTGACCAAAGACGACAAAATACACATGTAATTGGCACAAGTTCTTCGGGATTTTACTGCTTTAGAAGCTTTCCAGACCCGATGTACTCCATCTTTGTTATTCAAAGAAGCATACTGCGTAATGAGAAAGAAGTAAGGATAGTGATTACTGTCGGATATTTTCTTTTCAGCAGTTTTTAGGGCCAAAATTGCCTTGTCCGTCTGTCCTGCTTTCTTATAAATATTTGCTAATGTAGATCAAGAGCTCCATCCCACTTCTACATTTTGGTCACTCAGAATCTCTTTGTATACCATCTCTGCTGAGTCAACTCCAGAGAGCTCCCCACATGCGTCCATCCAGAGATTATAGGAGAGGACATTTAAGGTCATTCTGTTTTGTTTCATTTGCAGAATTGACTGATGGTACTTTCTGGTACTGAGATGTGGCCTTATAAAGCTTCATCATCTCATTAAATGGATGAGGGCACAGAGCAAGTCCCAACTTGCTTATCTTTAGCATGAAAGCTTCAACCTTCTCAGTGGACCTTTCTTCAACATAACAACGAAGTAGAGGGAGTGAAGCAGCTTTCAGCAAAACAGTGCTTGTTAAACTCTCAAAATATCTTTCAGCTTCTATTCTACCGTGTTCTTTAACAGTTAATTCCTGTTTCCTGGCATAATCATAAGGTGACATCTGAGAACTATGACGAGTTTCCATCCAGTTAAGTATCTGCAAATAAATATAAAAAGAAAAGAAAGATATACATAATATCTCCGTTACATGCACAAACAGATCAAAAGGAGGAGATATTTCAGAAGAAAAGGTTTCATAGTCCTTGTGTAAAATACCACCACTCTCTTTTTTCTCCTCATACTCCAAAACAAAAGTTGAGCAAGTTAATCCTTAGTTAACCTATCATTAATTACTATTATAAAGCAGACACAATTAACGGATAATGCCATATCATCACCAGATTGCCTCTATCAAGTATATAAGCTGAAATTAGCAGTATATAAATGTACAAGCAATTCAAAGTTTTAAGGAAACAAATAAATTACAGTTTTCTTTTTTGGTATGCTCTTTGGAGAAACTCATGTCTTTTTGTAAGATTCTCCACTTTATGTCACTCCCGGTATTCAAGATCCCCATCACATCAGTAATAATTTACTTTCATAAGAAGAAGAAAAGTAGTAGTATATACCACAAAAATCAAGCACCCAAATTTACAACAAAACAAAAGATATTCCTACCAGCATCTCAAAAAGGGAACTATTTACTCATTCTATTGTCTCAAATAATCTTATTACAGCATATAATCAAGCACCCAAAAGGAGGAGGTCCTATATATTTTTTCATAATAAACTGTTATTAGCATTCAAAATTAAAAAAAATCAAGGAAATTATTACTATTGTACTAATACTATAGACAAAAACCATATCTTTTTTTTGGTTTTTCCATCCGGTGTCCTCTACCTGCATTGGAGCCAGACTAATCCGGATTCTCGCTAGGTAGGGCACATTTGGGGTAGCGCTACGTGCTAAGTATTTTTCCATACCTAGGGTCCAAAAACGATACTTCTAGTTAAGGGAGAAGCAGTCCTTCCACTGCATCACTTCCGCTGTGGTGACAAAAAACATATTAATCAAGTAATCACAGGCCCACAAAAAAAAATCTTAATTATTTTCTTCTAACAAACTAGACACTTTTACTAGCATTAGAAAAGCTAAAGGAAACTAACAGTATCATGTTGACATATTAAACTTAAGTAACCCTACTAAATCACATAATCAAGCACCCAAAGATACATAATTCTTCAACTTTGTTCAATTATCAAAAAACTGAAGAGTAAATACAAGACCTCCAAAGCAGGTCCAGATCGACGTCGTTTCATGAGCTGCCGTATAATCACCCTAAGCTCGTTTAGACAAACTCTACGGCCTTCATCCACCCAATTCTCAAGCACACTCCTTGTCGGGTTAACACCCGATGAAACCACCTTCAAAATTCGTTTTTTCAAATCACCCCCACCGGAGTAACTGCCGTTAATCAGCGTCGCTTTGTTTGTAGAGTATGATTGTGACAGCGCAAATCTCCATGTCCACGAGCATCCAAAACATGTACAATGATTTCCATGAGAGTGTAGAAATTACAGAATTGGAATAAAGAGAGAAAAGGGTGTTAATTACCTGTGAAATCTTGAAAGATTGAACCCAACTGGTACCTTGAATTGCATTTTCGGAGATTTCTTACTTACACTTCTGAGAGTGTGTGTTCTTGTTGCTTTTGGTGTCTTGTTTGAGTTTTGGAGAATCATATGTTTTTGACGGTACAGTTTAGTCCCTAATGTATGAAATTTTGTCCTATTTAAACCCCTAAAGATATAATTAAAGTAAATAAAAGCATTTTTTTAAAAACAAACATTTAACTTTTAAATAGTTTTGTTACATAATTCAATATCATCTCAAAACAGGCAAAGGATATCATCATTTATAATCAGAAAGAATATTTTAATAAAACGAATGTTTGATTGAGATAAATTGTTCTTCTAATACAATATCAAGTGTATTTTGCAATTTAATTATTTTTATTTTAATCATCATTTTCAAATGAAATAGTAAGCGCGATCCAAATCAACAATCAACCTACCTTAAGCTTAGGTACACCTTGACTTCAAAATGTTGAGCATTGTTTTACAAACGACTACCTATATCTTGAAAACGGAATACAATTGCGCGTTCATCATGATAACATGATATTATCCCTGAATTTGTATTTTACTTTCCTCTTACTATATAAAAGTATATTTTTTTTTGCCTTCCATACATAGGTCGATTCACGATTGTTTGTATTCCCATCCTTACAAAAACATCATACTTATTTACTAATGCTGAAATTTCACACGTTTTCCTACATGCACATTTATGTGTGCATAGCACATTTTTGACATACCATGTGGCCAAAATGGATGAGCAACTTTTATAACTTTAGGGCATATACGAACGAAGGATAATATTAAACCTTTTTCAATAAATGCAATTAATTAATTATTGCACAATTACAGAGAAAAGCGGAAAAAGAAAATTATATTTTTCAGTCCCCAAAAAACATGTTTAAGAGTACAACTGGAACTATGCAAAATTTCAGAGACTTATCAGTATGTACTTGTGGTGAACTTATCAGAAAAATAACTTATTGTAAATTATTTCAATTGACTTTTAACAGTATGTACTTGTGGTGAACTTCTCAAGTATTCATGGGAACATTCACATGCATCAAAGATAGCACAAAATTTCCAGTTATAGTCTTCTTATATTAGTTATCAAAAAAGTTTAAAGAAAGCTGAGTAAGCAAATACTACTAATGTATCAGAGTCAGAGTCATGTCATGTCTTCAAAGACAATAAAGAAGAAAACTTACAAATTTACTTCTCCATCCATGTAATCTCCATTAATAACTTCCTCATGTGCAAATTCTTCCATTATATCACGCTGCCATTCATTCAATGCTCTACAAAAAGAAGAAGAAGGAAAAAGAGCATCTGTGAAATTTTGTTCATGCAGCAAACTCTAGTGGAAGTTCATGAGCAACATAAAAATAGAAAAATAAATGAAAAATGTTTGGACAGAAGAATTTCATCTGATAAGCTACTCCCTTCATCCGTAATACTTTGTTTCCTTGTTAATTTATCCCAAGAATGATCTCTTTCTTCAAGTTGAAAACTATTTCTAACTCAAACTATAATACGAGGACATATTTTCAAATAACTACTTCACTTTCCACACTTCAAACATATATTTAAGTACTTCCCTAACACACTAAGTAGGCATTTGGACATGTGATTTCACCCCGTGATTTGAAATAATGAGATGAAATCAGCGTTGGACATGTGATTTCATCCAAATTCTCCAAAAAGCTTGATTTGGGAATTTGTTTTCATAAACCTCTCATTTATGCTTGTCTGAAAACATCTGGTCCGCTTTATTTGTCCTTTTTTTAGTCCGTTTAAAAAAGAATGTCTTTTTCTTTTTTCTAACAACTTCTAATTCTAGCTTTCCACATTACATGTTTAAGACCATAAGACAATAGTATTTTGATACATTCTACCTAAACTAGACAAACAAATTGAAATGGAAGGAGTGATAGATAGTGACATATCTTATTAGTGAAATGAAAACACTATTGTGTTTTCTTTGGACATACTGAAAATAAAATAAATAGAACGTGCGGCAGATGGAATAATCACAAAACTATGTGAGATTTGCAGAAACTGTCATTTTCCGATGATATGAATAATGAATTAAGAGAAAGGAACGTTAACTAGCATTGAAAAGTCAAAAGAATAAGTCGTCTTGATAGTTTATCTTGACACGGAAGTACTAAAATACCTTCTAAGAGAATTAGTGGTAAACAACTAAACATTCATTATTAACACTTAATTATCTCAAGACTTGTAATATTCTAACATTTGGCAGCAGCCTTAAGCCCATTTTGGCCTACACAGAAAGAACTGTACCTCTATATAACATGAGAGATTGAGTACCCTCTACATAGCAAGAATCAGCAATGACAGGAGAGAAAGTGAAATTGCTTGGAAACTGGGCAAGCCCTTCTGCTCTGAGGATTCATTGGGCATTGAAACTGAAAGGGATTGAATATGACTACCAAGAAGAAGATCTCCCAAACAAAAGTCCTTTGCTCTTGCAGTACAATCCAGTTCATAAGAAGATTCCAGTTTTGGTTCATAATGGGAAACCTATTGCAGAATCACTAGTCATACTTGAATACATTGAAGAGACATGGAAGCACAATCCCCTCCTCCCTGAAGATCCTTACGAAAGAGCCAAGGTCCGTTTTTGGGCAAAATTTGTTGATGACAAGGTAATAACCAATGTTCATATATGAAAGAATCCATTCCTGTTACTTGTTTATCATCTTGCAGCAAATCACTGGATCATTCACTCTTTCTTTCTTTACAGTGTGTGCCAGGAATATTTGGTACTTTCGTCAAGGTCGGAGAGGAGCAGCAGAAGATAGCAAAAGAAGCTCGTGAGAACTTGAAAATTTTAGAGGGTGAACTAGGCAAGAAACACTTTTTTGGAGATACGAAAATTGGCTTCATGGATGTCGCATCTGCTTGGATCATCTGCTGGGCTCAGATTGTTGAGGAGGTTGTGGATATCAAACTTATTGATGCTGAGGAAATGCCTTCACTTGTTTCATGGTTTCAGAATGTCCTCGAAGCTGCTCCCATTCTGAAAGAGTGTACACCGCCCAAAGACAAATTGTTAGAGCATAACAAAGGATTTCACAAGATGTTGGTTGCTTCAGCATCATCTTGAAATCTAAAATCTGTTCCCATGTAGGAAGATTTTACTAAATATGATTATATGACATGTAATCTTTTTGATGAGTTTGATGACACGTAAGATTTTGCGGTTTTGCCTATCAAATACAATTGTGGGGAAATAAGGGCATAAGCATCTATGATCATGATATCATATAAGTCATTTTCTGTAAAATTAGAGAAACTTCAACTATTTAAATTTAAGGAACATTGCACCTTGATAAAGGACAAGTGCCTGACTGTCAATATGCCATGCAACATTTGAGTTACTTTTTAAGGATACGAGTTCCTTCAACTTTCTGCAAGTAGAGAATCTCATTTTAGTTTAAGGGGAGGAGGGAAAAGGGCTGTGAATGTTAAAAGAAACCCAGCATTGGCACATTAATGTAAGCTGCAAAGGACCAGAGACTTTGAACCACAATATAATCGACCATTCATGAGGAAGCAACCCTCATCCATTAGTAAGGCTATACAGATTAAAATAGACATTCAGCTTGCATCCATAAGTGATCTTACACCTATTTGTTCAAAATCACCCTTAGTACTACCAATCATCTCTATAAAGAACCAAGTAACTCATCCATATCATCTCTATCATGACACGATTCCATATTAGTTTGGTAGGAATCAAGAACATACAGTGTCACAAAAAATTTGGGAGCTATTTTCTTTGGACAATTCGCCAAAAAAGCCTCAAATTGAAAGAAATATCATAATAGAACTACGATGTGCATGAAAGTTCAGTAATGCATCAGAAAATGTAAAAAAGACATGCTTTTACTGAAGCTTCATCATCCTGTTGTAAATAATAAAACTCTATTATTCTTCATATGGAAGGGAGAGACTGAACAGAGACACTAAAGAAGCTTGCTAGGGTGAATCAAGCTAAAAGTGTAAATAATAAGAATACATCTCAAGGTTGAATTTTTTTTTTGGCAGACGATACTTGTTGAATCAGATATATTCAAAAAAGTTGAGATGTCCACCAATGCTTATATCTTACAGTGGACATAGAGGCTCAGATGGTGCACAGAGTAGTTTAAGAGCAGTATATTTGATAAAGCTGCATCTTCATCTTAAACCTGGACTATGCATAAGCAGGAAAATCATCTATCATAATAAAGACTTTGGTCCTGGCTGGCAGACTGTTTGCCTTTGGTAAGATATTCAGATATCTTTTTTGGAATTTCATACGTGAATGTCAAATGCCGAAAGTCTCAAGTATCATGAAAACCAGTTAGTAGAATAACTCTACACTCTGGCTAGATAATAGAAAATGCAAAAGCCATAATCTTACACCGAGTTACTGATATTGCAACTTCCAAGTGCAAAGGGAATCATGAGAAAAGAGAGTAGATTAATCAAACAAAAACTTACTAGTCGCTGCAGGATGCAGTCCCAAGAAATCACATCCACTGTGCTCTTCATATTTCAAGCCGCAGACTCAGAGTTAGCACCAAGTGACAAAAAATTGTTCAACATGCTCGACATTCTAACCTATCTTCTGCCCATGTAAAGCACAATTAAAGTACCACTATGGATTTTCAGTTCTCAACAATGCAAAACGCCTGAATAGATGGCAGAGGTCTCATCATCCATGTCAATTCCATCATTCTGCATCATTTCAAGGATATACAGTGGACTTTCTTCTCTTGAGATTTGCATTCTAAGCAATGACTTGTACACTTGCAAATTAGCAGGACCAAAATGTCTAAGAGTTGTAAGAAACTCCATAGCCTTCTCAAAATTTCTAGTTTCTTCGAAATATTCTGAAATTGCGACAACAATACTTGGTGATGGCCTCCATTCATAATGTTTTAGAGCAGCAAGACCACTTTTCAAGGCATCGATAGCTTTATCCATTTGTTGACTTCTTATCCATCCCTCCACCAATATCTCCCAGGTTTTAGAATTTGGACATCCACCTTTCTCCAACGTGCGATAATGTAACGATTCAGCTTTTTCGACTGATCCATTTCTCATGTATCCACCGAGAAGTATGTTGGAGACTCTAATGTCATATGTCCTGCATTGAGATTCCCATTCCACAAAAGTTCTCTCGGCCTCTCTCATGTCACCAAGCTTGACCAAAGACGACAAGATACACATGTAGTTGGCACAAGTTATTGGGGAGTTTACTGCTTTAGAAGCTTCCCAGACCCGATGTACTCCATCTTTGTTCTTCAAAGAAGCATACTGCGTAATGAGAAAGAAGTAAGGATAGTGATTACTGTTGGATATTTTCTTTTCAGCAGTTTTTAGGGCCAAAACTGCCTTGTCCGTCTGTCCTGCTTTCTTATAAATATTTGCTAATGTAGCTAAAGAGCTCCATCCCACTTCTACATTTTGGTTACTCAGCATCTCTTTGTATACCATCTCTGCTGATTCAACCCCAGAGAGCTCCCCACATGCGTCCATCCAGAGATTATAGGAGAGGACGTTAAAAGTTATTCGGTTTTGTTTCATTTGCAGGATGACTGATGGTACTTTCTGGTACTGAGATGTGGCCTTATAAAGCTTCATCATCTCATTAAACGGATGAGGGCTCAGAGCAAGTCCCAACTTGCTTATCTTTAGCATGAAAGCTTCAGCCTTCTCAGTGGACCTTTCTTCAACATAACAACGAAGAAGAGGGAGTGAAGCAGCTTTCAGCGAAACAGTGCTTGTTAAACTCTCAAAATATCTTTCAGCTTCTATTCTACCGTGTTCTTTAACAGTTAATTCCTGTTTCCTGGCATAATCATAAGGTGACATCTGAGAACTATGACGAGTTTCCATCCAGTTAAGTATCTGCAAATAAATATAAAAAGAAAAGAAAGATATACATAATATCTCCGTTACATGCACAAACAGATCAAAAGGAGGAGATATTTCAGAAGAAAAGGTTTCATAGTCCTTGTGTAAAATACCACCACTCTCTTTTTTCTCCTCATACTCCAAAACAAAAGTTGAGCAAGTCAATCCTTACTTTACCAATTTCTCAATTATTATAAAGCTTACGGAATTAACGGATAATATCAAATTATCGCCAGTACGCATCTATCAAGTATATAAGCTGATATATTAGCATTACATAAATGTACAAGCAGTTCAAAATTTTAAGGAAACAAGTAGATTACAGATTAGTGGATCGGTTTCTTTTTTGGTATGCTCTTTCGAGAAACTCAGGTATTTTTGTAAGATTTTCCACTTTATGTCACACCTGGTATTCAGGGTTCCAACCACATCAATAATAATTTACCTTCATAAGAAGAACAAAAGTAGTAGTATAAACCACAAAACAAAAATCAAGCTCCCAACTTTTGTCCCTCAAATTTACAACAGAACAAAAGATATTCCTATCAGCATCTCAAAAAGGAAACTATTGATTCATTCTATCGTCTCAAATAACCTTATTACAGCATATAATCAAGCACCCAGAAGAAGAAGTTCCTAATATTTTTTCAAAAAAAAAAAGATATTTCTATGAGCATTCAAAATAAAAAAAAATCAAGGAAATTATTACTATTGTGCTAATACTATAGAAAAAACCCTTCTTTTTTTTTTATTTCCCTTCCGGTGTCCGATCATTGGAGCCCGACTAATCTGAATTTTCACCAGTAGGGCCCATTCGGGGTAACACTCTTTACCAAGGATTTTTCCATACCAGGGTCCGAAACTGAGACCTCTGGTTAAGGAGGAGGAGCAGCTCCATCCACTGCACCACATCCATTGTGTGACAAAGCCAGATTAATCAAGTAATCACACGCACCACAAAAGAAAATTCTTAATTTTTTTCTTCTAACGAAAATACGCTTTTACCAGCATTAGAAAAGCTCAAGGAAATTACAGTATCATGTTGACATTTTAAAACTTAAGGAACCATACTAAATCACATAATCAAGCACTCAAAGATACAAAATTCAACAAATTCAATTTGCTTAATTAAAAAAAAAAACTGATGGGCAAATACAAACCTCCAAAGCAGGTCCAAATCGACGTCGTTTCATGAGCTGCCGTATAATCACCCTAAGCTCGTTTAGACAAACTCTACGGCCTTCATCCACCCAATTCTCAAGCACACTCCTCGTCGGGTTAACACCCGATGAAACGACCTTCAAAATTCGTTTTTTTAAATCACCCCCACCGGAGTAACTGCCGTTAATCAGCGTCGCTTTGTTTGTAGAGTATGATTGTGACAGCACAAATCTCCATGTCCAAGAGCTTCCAAAAGAATGTACAATGATTTCCATGAGAGTGTACAAACTACAGAAATGGAATTAAGAGAGAAAAGGGTGTTAATTACCTGTGAAATCTTGAGAGATTGAACCCAGCTGCTGCCTTGAATTGCATTTTCAGAGATTTCTTACTTACACTTCTGAGAGTGTTCTTGTTGCTTTTGGTGTCTTGTTTGGGTTTTGGGGAAATCATATGTTTTTGAAGGCACAGTTTAAGTCCCTAATGTATGAAATTTTGTCCAATTTCAATACCGAAGATATAATTAAAGTAAATAAAAACGTATTTAAAAAAAAATATTTTTAACTTTTAGATAATTTTGTTACACAATTCAATATAATATCGGGAAGCTTGATGATGATTAGGATTTATTATTAAATGTGATATCATTGGGCCACTTTCACCGAATTTGAGTTGCTTCGAGCCGTCTCAAGTGTACATCACTCGGAGATATATACATTCAATCATCATTTATAATCGCGATATTATTAGCTTTGCATGGTTATTTGAGCTGGAACTTTTTTTTTCTTTTTCATGAGAGTTTCTATCTCTTTGCTTTCTTAATAGCTCAAATTCACAAATGATTATTTCTCAAAGTTGAAAAGAAACTTTGATTTTTAAAGTAAAATTTAAGGTATAAATAATTTTCACCCGTTTTGAATAGTCAAATCTAAAGTTCTTTTAGTAAAGAGGGACAAGTATGATCCAATTTTTAGATGGTAAAGACAATTTTGATACCAAAATATAATAGAAAGACAAGTGCTCCATTCGCAATAATTTAAAGATACTTTTGACCCATTTCCATAGCTAGAGATATGCACACTTCATATATATTAGGGATCAATTGATTCCAATGAGTATCATATTTATGTGTGCATAGCACATGGATCTTTTATGTCTAGGAGGAAAAGGTGGATATTAAGATCAATTGTTTGACATATCATGTGGATAAAACGAATAGAGTTAACGATAGGATAAATTTGAGCAACTTTTATAACATAAGGACATTATATGAATCCATAGTATAACGGAGGATAATATTAAACTTTTCCCCATAAATGACTCTTTTCCCTATTTATAGAGAATATATAAGGTGCTAAGCTCCAAACGCAAATGCTATTAAGTAATTATTGCTCACAATTAAAGATGGAAACCAGAAAAAGAAAATTATATTTCTTCGAACAAACAAAGGGAATAGGATCCCATGAACTTTTCCCTCTCCACAGTTCCCAAAAAATACATATAGAACATGTTTAGACTACAACTGGAACTATGCAAAATTTCAAGAGACTTGTGAGAATTCTCTACAATTATTGTATGTAGAAATACAGGAACACTTCTAACCATATACTGAAACTCAACTTTCTTATAAAAAGGCCTTGGATAAAATAGGCACTTCCTTTTTTATTTTGAGAACTATATAGGCATGTTAAATGCTAGTAGTATATAATCTAAACTCGATGCAAAAAGTGAACAGTAGAAAATGGTTCTACCATGTGTATGTGATATAGCTACCAGGACGGTAGACGTTTGGGAGTTTCACTCCATTGTAGGAAGTTAGTTCTCTCCAGATCAGTTTGAGGCCGGAGACTAGCAAACTCTGTGCAGGTATGATGTTGAAAGCAGCTGGATCAGGAATTCTTGTAACTGCCGAGGACAGCTGACGCCTCCACAATCACAGCGTTTTGATTAACAACAGAAGGATCACTATTAAGAGTGAGAATTCAACCACAAACTTTGGGTTTGATACGCGTTCAAGCAACTGCTGCCACCTGTAAGTTCAACCAGTAGAGAGCTGCTGGTAAAGCCTGTTAACCATTTCCAGAATGTTCACCACATTCAGAATGGTGACTATATAAATAGAGACGGTCAAAGCGAGAAAACACTAAAGCATTATGCCAGCTAGATGATATTGTGCATCCAATCTCCAGTAAATAAAGATGTAGGTTGTGTAAATTGTATATCGATTGTTTACCATGGCTTCAGTTCTCATACAGAAACAGTATAAACATTCATGATAAGAGAGCATACGTGGAGATTTCTTGAACTTTGAGAACACCCTCACCCCCACCCCCAACCAACCCCTCAGAAAGAAACAAGGAAAAACTATCTCGTGTTCCAGTGACTAATGAAGAGCTTGAAAGAACAAATATCAAATTTGTATAAAACTCTGACAAGCAGCAAAGTTCTAATACTCTCTTTCCACCAATAATAAACACAAAAACATTTTAATATAATGCCAAAAGAAAAAGGGTCACATGAAAACAAGAAAGGGATGAGGCATTCTACCCGAGTTCAGGAAGGACATGATTTACGAAACCTACCACAATAGAATCCAAAAAAGAAAAATAAGTGGAAGTGATGCAACAAATTTAATGGACAGCCGAAAACAGATAAAAACACAGCGCTTTCAGGCTGTATACAAGATTTTGCTAACCAACTACTGGGTCTGGCCTACCTGGAAAAGGATTACATCAACCCTGATCACAAAAATCTTGCCAAAAATTAGAATACACCTCCAAATAAATGGTGAAACCAACTGATATAGTTAGTGAAGTTCAATGAGTAGCTGAAATCGCTAAGCCAGCATAATTTTGATCACGTATTTACGGTATAACATAATAACTGGAGAGAAGGCTAACCCCATTATCTCCGGTCTTCTTCTTTTTTTTTGGCTAGAAAAATAACTTATTGTAAATTATTTCAATTGACTTTTAACAGTATGTACTTGTGGTGAACTTCTCAAGTATTCATGGGAACATTCACATGCATCAAAGATAGCACAAAATTTCCAGTTATAGTCTTCTTAAATTAGTTATCAAAAAAGTTTAAAGAAAGCTGAGTAAGCAAATACTACTGATGGATCAGAGTCATGTCATGCCTTCAAAGACAATAAAGAAGAAAACTTACAAATTTACTTCTCTATCCAGGTAATCTCCATTAATAACTTCCTCCTGTGCAAATTCTTCCATTATAGCACGCTGCCGTTCATTCAATGCTCTACAAAAAGAAGAAGAAGAAAAAAGAGCATCTGTGAAATTTTGTTCATGCAGCAAACTCTAGTGGAAGTTCATGAGCAACATAGTAATAGAAAAATAAATGAAAAATGTTTGGTCAGAAGAATTTCATCTGATAAGCTACTCCCTTCATCCGAAATACTTGATCTACTTTGTTTCCTTGTTAATTAATCCCAAGAATGATCTCTTTCTTCAAGTTGAAAACTATTTCTAACTCAAACTATAATACGAGGACATATTTTCAACTAACTACTTCACTTTCCAAACTTCAAACATATATTTAAGTACTTCCCTAACACACTAGCATTTGGACACGTGATTTCATCCCATGATTTGAAATAATGAGATGAAATAAGCGTTTGGACATGCGATTTCATCCAAATTCTCCAGAAAGCTTGATTTGGGAATTTCATATCATGATTTCACATTTTTCAAATACAAAAATTGACCCACAAGTTTATCTTTGTAAAAAAAACACAATTTTATATCTAGCAATCATTTATTGCATATATAAACAAAATTATAGTTTATATCATTTCCATCACACGTCTCTTTAGTAAATATTATTTGTTTACACAAAACTATTTCATTTCTGTCACATATCTCTTTAGTATTTCTTTACAAAAATGTTATTTTTGTTGGTAAGCAAGTATTAGGTTGTACACTATCACAATGTTATATTAAAGAGTCAGTACACTACAACTCATGCTCAATTTTACATTTTTATTGAACTAAAGTTCAATCAAAAAATGTTGTATTTTTTTAGAAAAACTGTCTTAGTGTATTATACTTTTGTTATGAATTTTTGCTAATTTGGTAAGATTGTATAAAAATTGGGGTAATTTTGATAGTTTTCACAACTTATGGAATTTTTATGTTTATGGGTAAAAAATACAACTGAAAAATCCAAATTGCATGTCCAAACAAAACTTCAACTTCATCTCATTTCATGACTACATCTTACATGGCCAAACGGGCCCAAGTCTAATAATCAATAAAACATTTTACCAATTTTTTTTTGCGTGACAGAAATTCATCTTAGGCAACCCATTGGACCAACTACAAAACCATTTTAAGTAGACAACTAATGCCCAACCCCATAATGAGGATTTATATGCCTTAATACACATCTATCAATACCTCAATATTACCAACACCTAGTAACTACTGATACCAGATTGGTTCAAACCCAAATAACAATATTTCCGAAAAAGTAAAATATATCAATAAATGTAACAGTAACACAACAAAAGGAAAGAGCAAGTGATTATAAACCTATAGATGCATTCAATGTATAATTTGACTCCCCAGATATTTTCATACCTAACAAATAGGTATTGCTTGTTTATAGTTCATTTGGTGATACAAGATTTCTTATCAGCTCAGATCAGGAAAGCTTGATTTCAGATTTTTTCAGCAGATCACTGAAGGATTGAGTCAACGCACTGGTTATGAGAATGAATCTATCTTCCTTTCATTTTGACACATTACTAACCTGTTATAAACTAAACACCAATTTCTTTAATGCTCACATGAGTCATTCCTACTATCCCCAATCCCTAAACATCTGCAGAATATGAATAAAGATAAGCAGTTCACACTTCACAAAGGAATCTCTCAGAGATATTAATGGTGCAATTACCTGGGGAATGTTCATGATCCCAAACAAAATATCTATTTACTTGTATGAACACATGCCCTAGCAATGATTTAAAAGGTTGGACGAGTTCACACAAATTATACTTGTACATCAGATCGATGATCCTTTTTGAAGTCACTTATGGACTACCAAAGTAAGCAATAGTCCTTATGGAGTTAGTCTCTGGAAATCCATAAGGAACTTGTGGCCCAAATTGCTAACAAAAACCATGTTCAGTATTGGTAATGGAAGGAAAGTTGATCTATGGAATGATAAATGGATTGAACAAGCCCCCCTAAAGCAACTCTATCCAGACCTATACTCTATCAATCAACAACAAAACTCAACAATTGAAATGGTTTGGGGTGAACAGGAGTGGAATTTGAGTTTCAGAAGAGCTTTAAATGATTGGGAAATTGACAGACTAGCAAGCTTTTTCGGAACTTTAGAACAGTTCAAAGGTACATCAACTGACGCAGATTGCTTAATATGGTTAAGGAATAAGGATAACAAATTTACAGTGAAAGCAGCATACAGAGTACTCACAATCTCAAACAATCAGAGTGGGACCTGGCCTTGGAAGATGGTCTGGAGGGTTAAGATCCCTCACAAAGTTGCATGCTTCTCTTGGCTGCTAGCCAGAGAAGTTGTACTCACACAAGATACACTCATGAGGAGAGGTTTCAATCTTTGCTCAAGGTGTTTTCTCTGTGGTAAGGAAGCAGAGACAATCTCTCATCTCTTTCTTCACTGCAGCTGGACTGACCAGTTGTGGAAGATTTTCATTAACTTGAGGGGCATTAGCTGGACTATGCCGGGAAGAGTATCTGATGTATTGAAATGCTGGAACAGTGATACCAATCCCTCCAATCAGAAAGAGAGATGTAAAATTGTCTCAGCTTGCATTTGGTGGACTGTGTGGGGAGAAAGAAACAATGTTTCTTTTGAAGACAAAGCCATTCGTATACAGAAACTAAAGTTGAAATGTTTAGGGCTTTTCTTTTTTTGGTGTAAACATAGCTTAATGGAGGAGTTAGAATCAGTTTATGATGTACTTGATTCCTTACAAGAAGACTAAGGACTAGGAGCTTATTTTATTTTATTTTTGCTCATCTGGATGTAATATGGGGGACTACACACTCTTTGTGTAGGTTGTCATTAATACACAAAAATGTTACCTGTTCAAAAAGAAAAACATTTTCTTCCTGTTCTCATTTCCCATGAGGATGCAAGAGTGGCTAATTTTGGTGCTTGACTTAATATAAATCAGTTCAGGTAGCATCCTTGAGTTTATTAGCTTAAAACCCCATTAAAGACATTTGGTATTTCCTCTAAGCAATGCAATAGTTAATATTGTCAATTTGCCTGATTTTCTAATGAGTTCAGTGAACTGTAATAATTGATTTAGGATAAAAATCATCTGGAAAGGTGAAAGAGAAACATACGTTGGAAAGTCAATACGGAACCGCACATATTGATCTCCATGGTTCACCAGAAATCCACTCTTTGGCAAACCTAAGTATGACAGACAACAAGTCTGATTGCTCAGAAGGAAGTATATTAAACAGATTAGAATTCACTGTAACTAAAGCTATGATACCTTTGCCTCGTAGTACCACAAGTTGTCCAGGCTGAACCCCCTTGGGTACCTAAAAAGACCAGAAATAGAAAATAGCAGCAAGCTTTGGTAAAAAAGGGAGTTCAATGGTTCTAGCTGCTGATTTTTCAGGCAACATATGAAACAGTAAAGCAACTTCCACAACTGAAAAAAGGCCTGACAGAAGAGATGGAAATATCTTTTTATTGAATTGTCGCAATTGATGTTCAATCCCAAAGCCAAGTCCAAGCTTGTTTACAAGCACTGAAGTAGCTTCACTAACAATCATTCATCTCATCTTCCCTCTTTAGTTTGGATTAGAAAACAATTTGTTTTTGTTCAACGAGAATTGGTTTCAATAACTTTTTTTTGAAAAAATATAAGTTTTTGTTTATTTTCAGAAAACTATGGATGGAATGAAATGGCTCTCTGTTTTAGGAGAATTGGTGTTAGGTTTGTCTTTTGCTAAAACATCACTACCTCTTTTTGTAAGGAAAAATTTCCATCCATGGATTTGTAGAACAGCACTCTCTTGTTGAGAGTCTAACCCAAGACCCGAAAACTCTTTTTCAAGTTTCCAAATGGGGTAAAATTAATATATTAAAATTGTTAGGATCTTGTAGATATGGTTAGGATCTTGTAAATATGGTATACATCTGTTAGGATCAATTAAATTGACTTTCTTCTTATAGTTATGATGTAATCAGAGCATGTAGACTTTACTGTTTAAACCCTGTAAACCCCAAGAGTTTGAGCAAATAATAAAGCAGGCCACAACCTTGGGTGCAAACAACCAAAATCACTGCCATTCAGTCAAAAGATGATTGAAAAATCAACAATCAAAATGGAAAAAAAAATTGAACACACATCCAATATCAAGGTGACACATAATTCACTATACTAATTGAAATTCAAATTTATTATCACGACATGATAATAAAATAAATAAAAAATGTTGAAAGATAGATAAACCCAGTATAAAATGCCATACCTGTATCTTTGTCTTTCCAGATAGAGTTGGTACCTCAACTTTACCACCAAGGATAGCCTATTAAAATCAATAAGGACCACTAAATTTTAAAATTCTACTTTAAGCCACAAAAGCATATGTAAAGAAAACAGAATATAAGAGCTTTAAGCATTTATTTCAAGTCTTATGCATTTAGTCTTCTGTGATGTTTACTTCTTTTGGTATTTTGCAAACCTATAACCTACAGTTTAAGGATTGGAGTTTATTCAATCAGGTTTCTAATATCTTTTTGTAGTACACATGCTGTCATGGAGCCCCCGCTACACTGCGTGTATATTGTTTATGAGAAAGGTAGAAGGCAAGGTACATATTACATATTTTGCCATGAAAGTGCCCCAGTATGTTACATATAACATCTTTTGTCTGCCAAATACTCGTTTTACTAACCGGTTAACTTTTCTTTAATCAGTTAGTTGGTCTGTGCAAGCCATATGAAAAGTGTGTAAACTATCATAGTTTAGATAAATGAACCTTAAAATAAATACTATGCATGATAGTGGCTTGGACAGCGAGAGATCCCTCCAGCTGCTTATTGTTCTAGTTTCTGAGTAATTTCCTGTCTAATATGCTCAACTTCTACTTCTGCAGTAAACGACTCTGTTTTTATCTTCTTTTTACTTTTTACTTTTACCATTCAATGAACAGCCAACTTATAAATATAGCCCGATAAACTAAGGGATGAATACTGACAAGAAAAAAAAAAGTGTGTGTGTGTGGGGGGGGGGGGGGGGGAGGGGGTAGGGGGGAAAAATAAAACCATCAGAAGACAACCACAAGATACTTTTATCATCCGCAATCCAACCCCCCCCCCCCTCCCCCCACTTCCCATGTACCAGCATTATCATCCACCCACTCAGTATTATCTACAGCCAGTTATCTTGCTAATCAGTATCACTTAAAACTCAACAATCTCGGAGAGACTTTCTCTGGCAAGGACAGAAAACACAAAACTTTTAATTTGTTTAGGTGGGACATAGTGAACTTGGATAGAAAATTAGGGGGATGGGGGGTTAGGAGTGGAAGATCTGAAAGTCCAAAACATCACCTTACTGCAAAAATGGTTTTGGAGATTCGCTGCCTAAGAATACGCTCTATGGAGAACAGTTATCACTGCAAAATATAGGCTTCTCAATCATTTGACAACCTAGCAGACACAAAATCACAGCCCTAATGGAATTTGGAAAAGCATCAGAGTTCACTGAAACACATTTTACTCCAACTCTTCATTAAAGTGGGTAATGGCAGGAGTAAAGTTTGGGTGGATGTCTGGCATGGTCAAGCAATATTAAGGGAGAAATTTGCAATACTTTTCAGTGTAGCACAGAATCTGGATGCTACAATTTCAGAGTATTGGTCACACACGGCTGGAATTCAATATCAGGCGAAGCATAAATGATTGTAGATGTAGACAGCATTTCTTCAATGCTTCAGATGCTGAAAAGTGTATCCCTTTTAATCTCCTTAAGCGACTCTTGAGGAACTCATATTTCATTCTCAATTGATCATGGAAGTGCATTTGAAGAAACCTGGCACCTATAAAGGTGGAATGCTTCACATGGCTGGCTGTAGGCGCATGCCTCAATCACAAGAATCTCCCAAAAAAGGATATTTACAGTAGATTCCCTTTGTGTGAGAGCCAATTTGAGGACATTAATCACCTTTCCATTCACTGTTCACTCACTTCAGAAATCTGGTTCCCACAAAAGCTTTGGGGGTCAAGTGGGCAATGCCTAAGGTAACTACTATTTGCTGCAGTACTGGTACAGAAAAGGTCTCGGAAAGACTAAAATGCAAATATGGAATTCAGTTCCTTCAGCTATTTGGTGGTCCATATAGAACAAATCCCTATTCCTTTTTTGGTGTAATCTGGCTAGTGCAAATGACATGAAGCAATGATAGACTTATCGAGTTCATTACACAATCTGTAATGTATCTTTCCCTTTCCCTGTAAATATTTAAAGCACTTTCTTAATGCTGTCTTTTAAAATATCGCCTTTTAATGATAACGAAAAGAAACTAAACAACCTCTAATCATTGCCAACTAGAATGGGCTGAAATTTTGAAGTCATGATCTCAGTATGGTGATCAATGCTTGAATCTGGTAATGGGACTGTTGAAGAGAGAAAGATTGAGGAGAGCTTCAGAGTCGGTATTGATAATGGTACTATGATTTTTATTTTTTTATTTTCTGGATAATGGTACTAATGGTTTAACTAAGTTGATTAAGATGCACAGAGAAAAAAGGGAGAGAGTGTGTCAAGGATCTCCTCAGTTACATGAGTAGAATGAAGGGCACAACTATCCGTTTGAACTTATCAAGAAAAAAGAAGAACAACCCATATACCTTCCTACCAACAGCGAAGCAAATGTATATGGTAAAGCATATACTTTTATTAGCATGCCTAGAAGAAGGGAAAGAACGAAAGTTATTCTCACTTTTGTAAAGCTGATATGATAATCCACATAAAGGTCAGCTCCTTCTCTAGCAAATAGAGGATCTTTAGCAACCTGCGAAACAAAAAGCATGAAGTTTTCATGTAAACAAAGTTAAACCAGTCAACAAAAAGGACCCCAAAGACAAAAGGTTTTAAAGAAAAAAAGGGAAAATCTAAACTGAGAAAGGCACCAAATGTATGCCCATGTAGTCAATTATCAAAAAGATATTTCTTTGTCTTAACGTGACTATGTGTAATGGTGCGACAAAAACATAGGTCTTGGCCCGATCAATGTTGTTAAAGACCCACTTAAATGTGCTTAAGCCCTGAAGCTTAGTGCAGCACAGGCCAGACGCTTCGCCTGACCATCACCTCACTTCACTGGCGCTTTACAGCTTTAGTAGAGGCATCACGGGAGTCTCAACTCTCAACTATCAATGGAATCAGTTTTAAGGAGGGCAACATTAAATAGCAAATATAAATGGCAAAGCAATAGAGGACACTTTTGTATGAATATCTAGGTGAATTGGAATACGAAAACAGAAATTTAGTAAAAGAACACAAGTTACTAATGTAAACAAAAATTGGATCTGAATAATAAATTTACAATGTTTTTTGAACTAGAATAGCATGCTTTTATGCCATATGTCCCATATGTTATAGCTTCTCAATGATTAAGTCCACATAATTGAGGTTTGTATTTATATTCATTTTTCTTGTATGACATTTATTTATTCTTCTGTAGCGCTTTTCTTCGCTACAGCTCATGCTTTTGAACTTTGAATGCACTTTGCACTCAAAGCCCCAGCTGAAACTTGATACCACCTCTGCTTTTACCTTTGGTAACAATGACATGGAATCTACATAATATATAAAACTGCAGTTACCATGCATGATACTCAAAAACACCCGCTTTGCATGCCTGCCGGTACGCTTAAATCAGTCCATGTAATAGCTTTAGGAAATATATGGAAGGTATTGAGCCAAATCAGTCGTTCAAACAATGGTCCAAGCTCCAACATTAATGTGCTTGTTAGCTTTCATTTGAAGTCATATTCTTCAGTATGATGATCAATGATTATCCCTACTTGCTTTCAAATATTTCAATCAAGTTATTGAGGGGGCACATAAATTTCAGAAAGCTTCCATCACCTCACAATGCATTTTTGGAGAAACATAAGGAGCTGCTACTGAATCGAACAATTTCTTGTTCAAGCAGTTCTTGCTTGAGTTTAATACGCCAAGAGTTCATCGAATAAAGATAAAGGCTAAAGAGAGTAGAATAAAGTGAAGGTGAATACCACACTGATCAAGAGCTTGGTAAGTGTTCAAGACTTGCTGGTTAGATTGGATTTTAACAAATATCTCTGGGAGACTTTCTTTTTCTGATCGGAGTGAAGGGGCTTCCACTTGATTACTTGGGTAGAGTGAAATAGCTAGACTCTCTTATCAGCTTTCTTTTCGGATATATTTTTCCTTAGCACTCAAGAAGTAGACATTATTAATTGAATTGATGTGAAGTCTTTCCATTCCCGGTCCAATTACAACTAACAGAATGTACATTAGTTTATCACTATCAGATATCCGATGGTCCTCTACTCCATCAACTTTTTGTTTGTCAGAAAAATAACTAAAGGCGGTTTACTCACTGTGCATCTTAATTGCATAATAATACTTTTTCATAAGTAATTCAGCAAATTCTGTTGTAAGATTGAGGGGCTGGAAAAGCCAAAATACACAGTTTTCAAATACCTTAAGCTCCCATTCCCCTCTTAAGTTGTTTTCTGACCATCTACAAAAGGTAAATGCCTTTGAGTCTACCTTTATTTACCCTTCCCTAATACCATCTACTGAAAAAATATAGTTAAAGAGAAGGGTAAATAACCTAAAGCAACGCCAAACACGTTATTATGGATATATCATCTCACCTTTTTTTGAGAAAGGAACAAATATTATAAATCTTCAGAACCAAGGCTATGCTGGAAGCCATATTTACTAGTCCAAAAAACAAGCAATGTATATATCATCTCCCTTTATAAAATATAAGAGCCCACCCCCTTGAAAATGTCTTTTTGGCCTGTCACTGAACCCTTAGCAGATCCTGGTCATATCTAGCTTTGTAGGTGTTCACTTCATACCCATCACCCATGCATTAGGATATTCCAATTCCCTTGTCGAAAGAAAAACTCTAGTGGGCTTCTGCTATTAATCAGGGACATCAGATAATTTATCCATAAGCTAGAAATTTAATGGATTTCTGCTATATATATAATGCAAATATTATAAGGATTGACCATGCATAAAAATTCTTGAAGTCACAGACATGGTAGTAAATCCAAAACAATAACAAAAAATCACATTAGCTGACCCAATATAGAAGATACATTAGAGTAAGACTTGAATCAGATGAGGATCATGCACCTTTAGCTTTATAAATAAGCTGCCTGGCTGCACCCCTCGCCTGCCAGCATGACCAGCTTTTGGCACACGAATAGTATCACCAGAGTCAACACCTGATCCATCACGGACAGTAAGTTCATCACAATAATCCTATCTTATGCTCTTAGACCTAGCTACTAAAATGAAAATCAGAAAAAGTTTCATATAGAAATGTCTACTCGTCCAATGAACATAGGATCAATCAGGTATGCTGAAATTAGTCGTGATCAACAATATGAATCATCTACATCTGCTCAGCTCTTTTTATTACATTACAAACTAATTTTTAAGGCAAAATAACGGATTTTTTAGAAGTAGCTCCCTAAGTCCCGCATATGTAGTCATATTGACATAAAGTCTCTAACCACAGTAAAATGACTCTTGATTAACTAGACCTCATGTAAGTGTAACAACAACAACTAAGCATTAATCCAGCTAGTTGGTATTGCCTAAGTGGATCATCTCTTTCCATTGATTTTGTTCGTAGTTAGATTAGATCAACATGGATTCCAAGAGATTATAGGTTCTATTGAAACTTAACTTCATTATTTTAAATCTACCCCGTCTCCTTTTAGAACTTCCAATCATCATAGTTCGCATCTATAAACCGATGCATTTGGAGGTCCAACATAAAACATGGTTAAACCATCTCATATTACCTTCTCTCATTTTATTGCCTACATATATTATCCTAACCTTTGTCCAATGTGATCATTTCTAATCTTATATAACCATACAATCATCTCAACATCCACATTTTGGAGATATTTTTCTGTGGATATGCAGGCCTTACAAGTTCAACATTCACTCCTGCATAACATTTTTGGTCTCAACCATATTATAGAGTTTACCCTTCCACTTTGATAAGTATCTCCTTATCAAATAGCAAACCTGTCAAATTCTACTATTTAAACCATCTTTATTTATTTCTCAGTGGTAAAGCTTCATATTTGCCTTTAGCAAAACCCTCTTTCTAAATTGACTACACTAAATCTTCTCAGTTCAGGGTTGTACTCTATACTCTAAATTCAGGACTTTACCAGGCAACACAACCAGCACAAATCTGGTAAAGAAATCTGTTCTCCATAGTCAGGAAGTTTATCATACGATGAGGGTCAAATACGACAATATGATCAATCTTTTGTGGAAAAGCACCGAATCACCTTAATCTTCATTAAAATTGGTCATTTGTATATTTAATAGCAGAAATATGAGGCAAAACACCACATGCTATATCCTCAACATTCAAACTTAAGTGATATAGCCCTAACACTCCCCATTTTCAATATCATCATCTTATACCTCCCCCCATCCTCACCCCCACCTCCGGCACCCTTTTTTTCGTTGAAAAGTCTGGTTCATATGATTTCACTCAAAAAGAGGTGGTTCAAATTCAAGTGGTTGAGAAATTTCTTGACCTACAATAATCGACTAAACTTATCTTATATCTATCATACTAGGGCATGGGGATTTGTATCCATATAGTTACCCCACATGTATTTACAGTTTTACACCTAAAAACCATCTTGGGCTGTTTAAGCTCGAAATTAGTGCCAGCAGAAAAGTCCCCACCCTAGAGGAGAAAAATGAAGATATGAAATATTGTGAACTAACAAAGTTTCCATCTAGTTGTTTAAGCAGAATATACAAGAACTTCAACTGAAGTACGCAGATTTTTTTTTGAAACTGCTAACGTTCAACTATAGTACACAGATGTAGTTTAGAAATAAACTAAACTCCTTATGGTAGCACTTAGATTGGAAAGTAAAAACCAATGCATACCGGCAGGTATAGTTACTTTAACGTCTTTAATGGCTTCAACAACTCCTGATGCTTTGCATGCCCTACAACGTTCCTGATAGAAAACCAAGTAATGATCATTTGAAGCTGTGTCAAATTTGCGAGTTGTTCATTGTATCAAAATCAAGACCTTAATGACTCGTCCAGATCCTTTACAGGTACTGCAAGTTGCTGTAAATGGAGGGATTGTAACCTGATGAATACGTTGGAGAGTATTAATAAAACATAAAGATAAAATTGCTCGATTATCAGGCAAAAGGGGAAGGTGTTCCACTAAGGTTAAACCTCATATGATGAGGTCACCGTCAGAAACTTGAATGTACTTACTCTCCCAACTCCTTGACAAGTTGGACATACTTTTGGCTTTGAATTCAATGGATAGCCCAAACCATCTGAATGAGGATGAGGATAACAGAGTGTTAAGTGGTAAAACTATGAATTTCAAAGAGGAAGTTTTGGGATAAAATTGCCATATAAAATGAGACCGTGGGAATAGTTAAAAGTCAAAGCAACTCCATCATTTTTCATGCAAGTCAAGCCACATCATATAATATTGAATAGATTGAATACAATTACATTTTACTTCTTCCCTCTTGAGATATAGACTTAATTATTATTTTCTTTCATTTCAGATGAAGCCAGAGAGTTCCTCCAGGTATAAGCTCCGTTATCATGAAAATAGAGTAGCCTCATTACTTATAAATTTTAGCCATACTTTCCGGGTGACCTTTATGATCAATGTACTAATTTATGCAAGTCAAGCCACATATAATATTGAATAGATTGAATACAATTACATTTTTCTTCTTTTCTCTTGAGATATAGACTTAATTATTATTTTCTTTCACTTCAGATGAAGCCAGATAGTGCCTCCAGGTATAAGCAGTTAAGCACCATTATCTCTCATGAAACTAGAGTAGCCTCATTACTTAAAAATTTTAACCATACTTTCCGGGTGACCTTTATGACCAATGTACTAATTTATCCATTAGGACAGCACCCTATAGTACTGTATTTCTAGCAGAGTAAAAGCATGACTGTTGGAACTCGCTAGCAGTTTTTTGCTTCCTTCACCTGTCTAGTGACAAGATCAAGATGGACTGCTTAGCTCTTTTCTATTTTTCGTGTAAACAAGATATATTAACTAGGACAGAAGACATCTTTGATGTGCTAGATTGTTTATAGGCAGCAGTTTAGACTAAGACTGTTTTATTCTGTAAGTTGTAACACTTTTGAAGGGGAACTACACTTTTGTTGTAGTATACCTGTGGATATATAGACAAAAGTTACCAGTTTCAAAAAAAAGAACAGAGAAAGACAACAGAAACATGTCACACATAGAGAGAGAAAGAGAAGCCAGACAAACTGCATAATCATCCTCTACCCATGCTTCCACGAAGACATAGCATAATAAACAAAGAAAAAGACGAGGCAAAAGACAATTAGACATCCAACTGCAACACAATGTAAAGGCTTCAAAAACGTAACCAGATAGTTTAAACAATGTGTATCAAAAGAGAACATCAGCTTTTACTTACTGCAAGAATCACATGGTACATCTGCATCAAATGAAAGATGTTTTGTGCATCCTTTAGCAGCTTCAGAAAAGGAGAGAGAAAGCTCCACCTACCATTTGAAGATAATACAGTCAAACAGGTCTCTGAAAATGCGGAGAAATCTGAGAAAATGATCAAAGTGATCCTTAATGTATTAGGGCTCGTTTACTTTGGTCCTTGATATATACACCCTATCAGATATAGTCCTTATTATTCTTAATGCATAAGAAAAGTTAATCATTTTGATCAGAATCATTTTGATCCTTTACCCTAACTAACAAATTTTTAAGAAATGCTGCTAAGTTTAACCCTCTAACCACGTGACTAACAAAAGTCACAGCAACAAAGGCCCAAGCTATCGTCTTCTCTGTCATCAGAAGTAGGAGCTCTGAAAAATCACAAAAAACTTGAGAATGGTGGCACATCCCCTGCTAGGAACAAAATCACAAGAAGATGAATCCTTTCTTTCATAAATTTGAAAGTATACTGAAGTACAGCAAAGAAGTGAAACAAATTTAGCCAACATGTAAGTTACCAAACCCCTCTCTTTTTCCTTCAATTCACAAATCTCTAGATCTGCAATTGTTTTTTTACATTGTATATTGTTTGATTTATTTTAATTTAGTGTTTTTTTAATGATAACAGCCAGGAAAAGATTATTAACAATTGCAAGGATTCGAATGATTTCTTTCATGCTTTTCTTTGGAGTTCTGTCTGAACAACAATGTATCTCTACAGATCCGTCGAAAATTCACCAAGTTCAGAACCGGAATCCAGCGCTGATGTGGCTTCTCCACCAGTGATTCCGGTCCTTCACCTTCATCTACCCCGACTTCTCCTCTAGTGCCTCCGCCATAAAATCTCTTTCCTGATCATCGAGGGTTAAATTTAACTGAAAATTTGACGGATCAGTTAGCTTTTAGTGTAGAGGACTAAAATAATTCACTTTTACTATACACTAAGGACCATATCTATTAAGGTGCATATACCAAGGACCAAAGTAAACCAACCCCAATACGTTAAGGACCATCTTGATCTTCTGGGGAAATCTCAAATGGAACATAATCACAAAAGGAACCACCTGAATGTCTTGCGTCAGATTTTCAGCCTCATTTTCAAATATCTGAGAAATATTGAAGCATATACATTTAAGCAAAATTCCATACATCACCGCACTTCACAAAAGAGAAAAAAGGGGTGGAGAAGATATATACCTCAGAAAATATTTTCTGAAACGAATCAGAGAATTGTGTGCTATATGTATATCTAAAATCATTGCCATTCCCATAATTATAATTTATATTTTCTGTGTTGCTTGGTTGCTCCTTCATCTGAATTAATAAAAAATCATCATTAGTAGTATATCAAATTGAATCATGCTGTAGCATAACTTGAAAATACAACCCATAGGAGAAAAGACATGTTACCATGTCATAATGTGCTCTCTTCTGTGGGTTTTGCAAAATCTGGATTCACCTTTCACAATTACAATCCATAAAAAATCATACGAAAGTAGTACAAGGAAATGCAACAATTCTTCAATCATGGTCACGATACTATTATTCGAGAGCACAGAAATATTTAAACCTCATATGCATCTCTTATCTCTTGAAATTTCCTCTTCGCAGATGGATTATTCTTATTGGCATCTGGGTGGTATTTTTTTGCAAGCTGCAAAAGGTTTTGATGTCAACATACTAGACAGTTAAAAATTGCACAGAAAGGATGAAGAAAATGATAAAAAGCCACAGATCTAAGCTAGATAATGCTTAATATAAATGAAGCAAATAAATTCTTGAAGTGCAAAAATTGAATCACTTGTCTGAGAACACCAACACAATGTGAATTATCACCTCTAAACAAAGAAGAAGATTCCTTTTTCAGATATGGGAGGGGGAGGGGGAGAGGGATAAGAAGAAAACTCTGATGTATCCTAATGACAACAAACTACTAAATAACCAGCCTTTTCATTGAAAACAATCTACCAATGACTAGTAAAATATCAATACCAAAAACGAAACAGATCCATATGCAAACAAAAGGTGGTGCCAAATTGACAGTGACAAGCTTTTAACACCAAATAGAATATCAATAAACCACTTATTCAAACTTAAAAGCCTATTGAATAATGTCCTCACCGCATGAAAAGCCTTCTTAATCTCATCTCGACTAGAATCTCTAGATACACCTAGAATTTCATAATAATCTCGCTCTGCAGAATAACAAGCTCCTGGAAAATTAAGTGATGCAATTGGTTCATATGATAGAGCAATCGATAAGATGAAACACGCAAATCAAAAGTAGCTGTCTAAGATATCGAGGAATACCGGTGGAATGGAAAAAATGCTTCAACGGTGGAAATCTCCTAGTCGAAGAACTATTAGGTTTACCAATAAAGCTGCAACTGTACAAAGCTGATATACAAAGCAAAGTAAACCATGGTATCATAGATTGGCTTTTCAATTGGCTGAACATAATTCATGTTAGAGTAACGACATTTTCTGTCAAGTTCAGGTGTTTCAACATACATTCAGCACATACATAAATGTAGATTTTCACTATCAACCATTTTTTCAATGACAATGGTGTCCATGCCAATTGCACCCACCTCGACTATTCTGCCAGATATCTACTGCCTCCCATCGACACAAGTATCTGTAGTTCTTGGTGGTTTAGGCATATGAGAAGAAATCACCGAGTGTTTTTTAATTTGAACCTATAACCTCATAGCTATCCTCCCACTTGGTTGACCACACCCTTGAGTGCACTAACAACTATATTTTCGCATTTAAGTATTCACCTCAGGTCCAAGTAAATTTGATGTTGCCAGCTAGTACTAGGTTTGTGGTCGTGGTGTGAGGAAATTTGGGGGGGGGGGGATTACCAGTAAAATATGCAACATAGACGTGGTATGGTTATATTGAGACTAGTTGGATAGGCAAAGAAATAGATGATTACATCACAAAACAGAGAAAGTAAATTTTTGAAACTGTTATTTTTAAAATTGAACAGAGGAAGTACATTAACTAATGCAGTGGTATGGTTTTATCCCTAGCATGGAACTCTTTTTAATAATTAATTTATGATTTTATAAATTTATGCACTAAGCCAGTGCATCAGCCATAATTGCAGGTTGTGCAATCCCTCTATTCTGTCTAGGTACTATGCACCTACCACGACAGCTGGTGACATGATTTTGCTTTATAGTCTTAGGATAACAATTTTTACCCCTATGCAACCCTGGCATATATCCCCTCCTCCTGCTTCTCAAGTGACAGAGATAATATATGGTCCTAATACACCTTCTGAAATTGCTTACACTGGCTTTGCCCATTAAACAAAAGCTTTAAGAAACACGTTTTCCACCTATTCTGTAACAAGTATCTGCCACCTCTTCTATAATTGGTGTCAAATTAGGTAAACTGCTTTTTGGAGGACTGTTTAATGTACACAAATTAGTTAGACCATCCTGACCTTTCTGGAAATTGTCCACATCAATGAAGCTTGTAACAAATCCGAGATATTATTACCTCGTTATGTTACCACTACTCAATGAAGGTAAAGTTTAAATTTTTGTACCTTCTCACACCATAACCGATGCCCAATTAACCTAACTAACAACTAAGGGCACAAAGTTGAGCTCAATTAATGACAAGTAGCTCATGAGTCATGGCAAAGAATCCTTAGAATTGCAGAGTTTGATACATAGAAAAGAGTTCAATCTCACAAGTTACAGTTCAAGGTAAGCCTCTTACATCGATTTTTAAGTAATGTAGGTAGATATTCTGAAACATGTGAACACACATTCCCTTTATTGATCATTGAATTTGCAGAAACTGAGTGTTGTGACTGGAAATGGAGAAAAAGAGTTTAGGAACAATATTACCACTTCTCCGAAATATAACTTGTAAATTGAACAACATTGCAGGAGTTTTCAATAATATTACCAAAACAATTTGAATGATAGATTTTGGGGAAACTCCTGTCCACCTCAGTCTGCCCATTTGGAGCTGGAAGCAATTCCAAAAGCCAAAAGAGTTAAATAATAAGCTAAAGTGAAATGCCCCAGGTGAATAAAAAAACGTTCGATGTGATAATAACATAATATTCGGCAAGAATTAACCACTTCAGTTTTAGGGTGTTCTCTATGAAGGAAAATGTATTATTAGAAAATGTTCTCCACAAAAATAAGTGGGTTTCTTATTTATTTTCTTGTGTTCGGTACGTATGCAAAAAATATTATCCAAAAATCATTTATATATAATCTAAACAAATACTATGAAATTGGGAATGAGGGTGAAGATGAGGTGTGTTGGAGGATACTTGTACAACTTGTTATCCCAACTTATTTTCCTAAAGATAATATTTTTCCGAAAGTTTGACCAATCCTCCATAGCGAACACAATGTTTTATGCGAGAATTGCATGAAGAACACAATTAGCTTTTTAAGCTACAAGTCTACAACACCATCTAACACACACCCTCCTTCCACTAACTTCTTTAAGCAAAGATTTTCGCTTCCCATCCATAAAAATTTACCCCTTTGGCATTTTTCACTTTAATCTCAGTGTTTGGCTTTCCTCATCTTAACTTACTATATCAACAGAAAGCAGCCCAAATACAAATACAAGAACATATACCCACTGCCAATTCAAAAAACCAGAACACCATACACTGCCAAGTAACCTAAAGGGTTTTAATAACAGAAAAGATTAAAAAAATTAGGCAAATAACATCGAGAGAAATTAGGCTTACTTGTAAAAGTATCTGCAACTGAACTGTCTAATTCTTGGTTCAATCTTGAAAATGTTTCACTTTTTAAGCTCTATGGAGCGGCTTTAATTGGGTCTTAAGTTTTTATAAGTTGCTATAATTTTTCTTTTCTTCCCATGAGGTTTTCTCTTTTAGGGCATGACCCCTTGATAATTTTCTTTTTTTAATTTTTGAGAAAAGGGTCGATTGTCAAATTATATCTCAATTTTTATTTAATAATTAATTTTATTTTATGCTCTTACTAGGTAATTTACCCGTGCTTCGCGCAGGAATAAATAATCTTTCTAAGCTTTTGAACAACCTTTCTAATAATCGACTGTTATAAAAAAAAAGTAAATTTTAATAGGTTTTAAGAACATTTCAACAGAAATAAAATGATTTGACATTATCATATATCTCAAGAATTTTAAATATATAATGAATGATTAAAAATATCATAATATATGTTTGATGATATAATTGTCTTGTTAAAACTGAGTGATGTTTTTATGTAGCGATTAAACATATTTTTTTCTATTTTTTTGTACATGAAAAATATAGAACTGATAATTTTATGGTTAGAATAACTCCTTGTTAAAAACAAATTATATAAAAGTTTTCGATAATCAATATTAGTTATAAATAAGCTAAGACCGTTAAAAATGTACACCACAACAATATAAATAATTTTGTTTAAAGACAATCTACTTGTCTGAGGTCAAACGTTCACCACATTTCGTTATTGTTACTTTGTTACTCTAACAAAATTTATAGAATGAGAAAAATGAATTTGAAACAACAGCAAAATAATATTGTTGACCATTTTAGAAATTCATTCTTCATTAAATTGTTGCTCTGAAGGCCCTTCTAGATGTTTCATCAATGCAACTTTAAGACTTTTTCAGAAAATATGTATGTATAGTTGTTGCATTATGAAAGTACAAGTAGATCAACATGTTGGATTCGAAACTCATGTTAAATAAATATTCTCGAACATTAAAAAATTAAAAATAAGTCTAACCTAGATAACTCAAATGCTCAGCAATGACTTGGGACATAAAGGACAACAAATCAATGTTAATAGACATACCTTTTGTAGCTTAAGATATTACTTTTATTTAGATCAGGTTTTGTTTCATATTCTTCAAATTAAGCTTGCTAAAAATAGTTATAACTCACACCAAAAATATTTAGTAGAGCTTAATGAGAAGGAAAAAAAGAAAAACATTAAAAGGACGAAAGCTTTGTCCAAGTGAGCTCATATACATACCAAACGAAAATAATCAATACAATTTTAAGGAGACAACCAAAACAGCTAGAAAAAACATACATTAAATGGAGTAAACTATGAGATATTGAATGATGATAACAAATCATTCTAACCAGAAAAGTTCTCATGTTTTAAAATAACATACCTAAAAAAATTGACTAACACTTCAATCAACTTTCAATCCTTAAAGTACTCATAATATCCAGTGATAAAATTTAGTAAAAATAGATAACAACAACATAAAAACAAAAAAATATGGACATGCAAAGTTATTAACTCTCCGAGGATTTTCTAAAGAACACAAAATCTCATCCTTCTATGTGAAGTAATGACGTTGATGATGAACAAATTAGAGATTTGTAAGGATTTTTTTTATTGTACCTTCAACAATTTCAGTCGAGAAAACTTGCTTGAATACTCAATTAATGTTTTTTATTTAATATGTACTAACAAATACTTATAACAATAATATTGCAGAAACATAAACAATAAAATTTAAAGCATGTACTCAAAAATAACAATTAATAATATAAGCATAAATTAATGACTGCAAAAACATACTAGGATTTATAACAATAGAATGAAACAGAATGGAAAAAATATGCCAACTGAATGCATAGTCCCCTTAAGGAAATTATTCCCTCCTAGTACCCGAGATTTAAAGGAATAGATCCTCTTAAGAAAGAACGATTCTATTCACCAGCGTATTGATACAAAAAAAAGAGTTAGTGAGTCATTCAACAAGAGCAAAGTACACAATTATTTAATTTTCAAGAAGAAGAAGAATAAGTTCAAAATTTTCATTGTTTTAAAATGAGAGAAAATTTCTCTATTTATAGACAAAGGTAGTGTGAACAAATGTTTATTGTGTCTTATCGTAAAGGTCACAACCTTTGATAAAAGTCGCAGATTTTCATAAAAGTCGAAAACTTTGATAAAAGTCGCAACTCTTCACACGGGAATTTAACATCACAGAATTTATAAAATAATACTTAAAACCTATTAGTCATTAAAACTAAACACTATATTATCTTACATACAAGATTACGTAGCAACAAATATCACGCCCCGAGCCTACACCCTGGGCGGGACTGGTACTCGAAGACCATTGATGGCCCCAAGTGAACCCTTGGCCTGAATTACTTAACTCAGCGGAAGACTTAAACATAAGAAAATATAACTCATGCATAACTTAAGAAATAATAGTTTAGCTAAAATCGCAACTCAGTCTTTAAACAACATTTGAATGATGATGTAAAGACAACTGAACTACTAACTGTCTATGAAGCCTCTAAAACAAAGAGGGATGTCAGGACAGGACCCCCGATAATCCTAACATCTGAAAGACTAGAAAGCAAATAAAAGAGTCCCACGAAATGTAAGGAGGCTCACCAACAGACTCTGAATGCTCAAGCTGGATCAACGAGACGTTGAATGCTGATCCTGGTTACTTGTGTCTGCATCATAAGACGATGCAGGCCAACTGGCATCAGTACATTGAATGTACGAGCATGCGAGTTGGAGTGCTAAACAATACATAGGCTTGAAAAGATTCTGAAAGAAACACTTATCTTGGCTCTTTTCAACTCATGAATAACTTAACTCAGAATAAAGCAATGAACACATACAATATATGAAAAAGCTTTATAAAACAGTAAAAACAACTTAGTTCGTTAAAGGAAATGCAATAACAAACTCAACTTTACTCATATAATAAAATAATATAGTTTTTGTGGGAGATTCTCTAACCGACAACCACCACTATGAGTCTAAGTAGTGATACAACGTCTTGCCCACGCTGCCAGAACTGTCCTATACTTTGTCGTCATATAGAATGCTTAACTTAGTGAATCTACTAGCTTAACTTATGATCATCTAAAAAGTATGACCCATTAATACCCATGATGACTACATGGTTTATGGAGACTTGAGTTAATATGAACTCGCATCCCCATATCAGTGCTCAATACTACTCCCAAAATATACTTAGCTCATATGTTTTTAAAACAACTTCTTTCTTTGGTTTGAGAAAATTACTCAAAACTTAGCTGAAAAGCTTCTTGGAATCGATGTTCCCTTTTCTTGCTCAAATGTGAAAACATTTATAAACTCTTAGGGAATACTTAGTTCCCTTATAGCTTTCTTTGAGAAATGAACTCAACTCTTTAGTCTTAGCTTAACTTGAAACTTTTAGTCTTAAAACAAAGTTAAAACATTTGTAAAAGACCCTTGAAGACTTTGATGACTTCACTTGACTTGACTCTTAACTTTCCTTGAATTGAATTATGAATTCAAGGATTAATATGATTTGTGATAGGAAAGGTCTCTTGATGTTTAGAAATGATTTCGAATAGCTAAACTTGAGAAAAGTTACGAAAACACCGTCTTGGAACAAGTCCGCGACGCAGACATGCTCCTAAATAAATGCTCGCAAAATTAATTTTGAGACCGCGTCCTCTCCGCGACGCGGAGCAGATTTTTGTTCACAGGGGGAACAAGTCCGCGACGCGGACTTGTTTCATGAACCTTACTCGACTTTTTCCTTCTTCATTTTTCAGCCTCAATCCACTTAAATTCGATTATCTTCCTCAAATTCGTTTTAAATCCCGATGCCCAAGCATGTATACTCAAGAAACTAACTCAAAGCAGCCCTAAAATCAATGTAAGGATTTCATAAACTTCTCAATTCGTCCTAATTCTCTAACAACATTCGAATTCAAGAATATTTGTCAAGAACATCAATTTTCCAACTCTTCTAGGACGAATTTCACTGAATGAAACATGCTTGGCGCGTGGGTGAAAATACCCAACTCTATGCGAGACTCACATACCTTGTAGAGTCAATTCCTTGAAGAAATCCGAGATCAAACCCTTTCGAAATGATGAATCTTGCTTTTCCTCTTCTCTTTTCTCTTGCATTCTTTCTCCAAAAGCCCTAACTCTACTTCTCAAAAGCGTAAACTAAACCCAGTCAGTTTAGCCCCTAAA